TACTAGTAAATATGTGAAATGACAAACTCACTTTGAAGGTTGGCTTTCATACACATCAGTATTAAGTTTAGATCAAAAGTTACCTCAAGGTGCATTTACTGTTAACATGACTCGATCAAACAGATTAGAGGAAAGAAGAGAAAAGATCGAACTGACAAAGAACTAATGAAGATGGTACAAAGGTGGGCGCCAAGATCCCTCTGGGATCTCTTGTTTGTGATATTTGGCCAGTAGTATGCTGGGATGGAGGGCTACTAACTTAGTTCAAATGAATGACCTTGACCCTCTTTCAATGTCACAGGGGTCAAATGTCTTAACATCTTCAAACTGCTTCTTCTCAATAACCAAAAGGCCCAGGGTACTGATATTGGGCCTGTAGCATGCTGGGATGAAGGTCTACCAAGTTTGTTCAAATAAATTACCATTACCCACTTTCAAGGTCATAGGGGTCAAATGTCGTAAAATCTTCAAACAACTTCTCGATAACCAGAAGGCCCAGGGTTCTGAAATTGGGCCTGTAGCATGCTGGGATGAAGGTCTACCAAGTTTGTTCAAATAAATTACCATGACCCACTTTCAAGGTCATAGGGGTCAAACGTCGTAAAATCTTCAAACATCTTCTCGATAACCAGAAGGCCCAGGGTTCTGAAATTGGGCCTGTAGTATGCTGGGATGAAGGACTACCAAGTTTGTTCAATTGAATGCCCTTGACCCACTTTCAACCTAATGTCTTTGTTCGACATTCAAGGTCACAGGCGTCATATGTTTTAATCTTTTAATAGGCTCTTATGAATCAAACACTGATATTCTGCCTGTAGCTGTATTTTAGTCCACTTTTAAGATTACAAGTCTGAGATCAATTCCAGGTGAGCGATGCAGGCCCATTGGGCCTCTTGTTCATGACTGTTATAAAACTTTATGTGCTGTTTACACTTCAACTTTATGCTTAAATTACAGGACAGGAAAAATGCATGTCCAGATCAGAATTCGAACTTGTTTTCTCCAAGCTCTAGACAGATTTATTGATTGAACTATGGCTACCTGTACCTGGCAAATGATCCAATGCTCTGCCATTGAGTTTCGAGGTCAATCTGTATTATCCCGCCTAGGTAGCTCACTTGACATAGCATCCCTTTAAATTTCAGAGGTCCTGGGTTCAAATCTTAGTCTGGCCATGTATTTTCACTCCTGTTACACTTAAAACATCTTCTTGTCATAGAAAAACAGTGAATATTACACTTCACTCTGACCATAATATGTCATAATGCTCAATGTACTTTTGTAGTCCCTCATTTTGCCCTGTATTCATTTGGACCATTCATTTTGCCTATGAAAATAGGAAATGTTAGTTTGAAAAGGATGTTATGCCTCAAGCTATAAGCCAGCTAGTATACCATCAAATTTACTTCAAGTGTTCATCTAGTCCATACTTTTAGATGGATATGAAGTTAGCCTCAAGGCACCTTTCTGTAGTAAACTCATTACTCCTTTTAAAATATCTGTCTTTGCATAATTGCATTACTCTGTACATTCATGATCATAGGATACAACCAGATAATATCAGTTTGAAGTTTCTCTGTCGGTCATAAACAGTAAACTACTAATACTAATACAAATATATATGGTGTTGTATACATACGCATATTCATAAGTGAACTCCAACTCCACCTCATTGTATTGGAATGGGGTGTTCTCAACATATTTCAACATATTTCAATTGAAGCATCTATTCATATAAGCACTGAAGCACTTATATTCTGGAAGAAAAAACCCCGAAATAAATTTGAATGAAATATTCCAGTATCTGATTCTGTGCTAATTAACACTAAACTTTCCTTTTAACATCCAATTTTGATATCAAACTTAAATCTGTGCTAATTTGAACTAAACTGTTTCTTTATTACCTCATTCTGATATTAAACTTAACATTAAGATGTTTTATTAAAAATTTGTGTATTCGTTTAAAAACTAAAAACAAATGATTTAATGAGGTTACATATGGAAGAGTAGTGATTCAGTACACTTATAAATATACCTCTACGTGTATAGTTTTCATAGTCAACATTACATTGTAACCTTGTTTTGATTTTAACTGTGGAAAGAAAAAAGTTTATTAAAATATTGCATATAATTATGTAAATATATGCATGATGCATGTACTAGGGTACTTGAGTTCCCGCAGGTAAGTTTTACAGGTAGATTCACCTGTTGGACCTCGCACACATTTTAAGAAAAAGACTTGAACCCCTATCAAAAACAGTTGCCCTATATATAGCTACAGGTAAATAAAAAATGTTGGCACTCAGAGATACACCCATTGGAACGCCATAGCATTATGTGTGTTGTGATACAGACTAATTAATATAAGATGTTCATCTACCTAAAGAAGACCAGAATTTTGCAGTTTTAGTTTTATTTACATGTACTAATAAATACTCTGAGACTGCTACCAACACTTAAATTCAGCTGGGAAAAAATGATATCAAAAGGGGACTTTCGTTACAATTTTGTTTTTGTTAATAATGGTACATTGTACATATTTTGGATTTTTTACACAAAACCATATCTAGATCTCTATATTTGCATTCTACAGGTGGGCCATAGTATTTGCAATACAAGTACCAATATAATTCAGTACATTTCAAGCAATATGTAAATGTACATATTTCTCTGAAGTTAAAACAGAGATGGAATAATTTTATAAAAATACTGTTAAGATTAAATCATTATCATCCAAATTGAGTTTGCTTTGAGTCTGAGCTGTGATATATTTGGTCCAATAACAAACTACTTACAGTATCATGGGGTAATATTGAGTCTGAAGAAATAAGATGTTTCAACTTTCAAAATAAGATATTGATCTGCCCAATTATTTCCCTTGATCTATAATTGATTTTGAAGCCTAAAAAAGGTCAAGACTTTTATCTCTTATTTATAAAAAATATTGTTTTGGTAACTGGTCAACAAAAATGGGGAGTTTTTTTTTATTACAATAAAGATACATGGGGATTTTTTTTTACAATGTTCCATTTCTAGTTACTGAAAACTTAAAATTACAATGTATTGTTCCGTTTCTAGTTACTGAAAACTCAAAATTACAATGACTACAATGTAGAATTATTCATTTTATGTAAACAACTAATTATTTTGTATATAAATAGGACTTACAAACATAGCTTTTGCAATAGGGAAAGGGAGACAATTGTGCATATGTTACGGGAATGCAGTGAAGTCCAGAATTTTCTAGCAAGTTTTGAAATGCTGCTGAATGCTCTAACATTACCCTTTTCAGTTAAAAAAGAAACTTTGATCTTTGGTATTTTAAATATCACGGGTGTTTATAACCGAATATATATTGAGATAATGATTCTCCTGTTGATGAAATTATATATCTTAATGTATAGAACAAGGTGTTTTAAGAGTACACTTTCTGTGATTAACTAGTTAATTTGATAAAAAAAATTACTATGTTGTTTAAAAGTATATTGCAAATAGTAAAGGTGAATTCTGGTTGCAAAAATTTGTTAATGAATTGAAAAAATGCATAAAACCTGTCATAAACTGATTTATCATACTACATGTATTAAGTTGTACTAAGTAATGTATGTTCAATTACCTTCCACAATATACTGCTTTTTCTGTTTCTTTACATCTGCTGGGTGTTTTTTTCTCTCCATCTGTCTTTCTCTGTTACTTTCTTCTTTTTCTTTCTGTTTCAGTGCTTCCTTTTCTTTTATCTTTTTGTTTTTCATTTTCCATTGTTTTTCATTTTTTATATGTCCGTTAAATTTGACAGAAGTATTATGGTATCGGGTTGTCCGGTTGGCCGGTCTGGCATAAACTTATGTTTGTCCGGCAATCTCCTACATTTTTTTGACCGATCTCTTTGAAACTTGGTATACATTATAATCATGATATGAAGTTGTCTCCCTTAAAAGAATTTTGATTCAACAATTTTTTATGAAAGTTATTGCCCTTTGTTCATTTCAGTATTTGATTTTTGTCCGGCAATCTCCTCCTTCATTTTTCGACGGATTTCTTTGAAACTTGGTGTACATTATAATCATGATATGAAGTTGGGTCTCCCTTAAAAGAATTTTGATTCGACGATTTTTGCAAAAGTAAATGCCCTTTGTTCATTTCAGTATTTGATTTTTTTTCTGGAGATTTTCTCCTACATTTTTTATAGCATGTCAGCTAACCACTCTTAGAATGATGCAGAGAGATCTTATTTCAATGTAAGAAAGTATATGTCACTATATGGCATTCAACGGGCATATATTGTTCCGCCCTGCGGTACTCTTGTTTCTATATATCAAAACAGTAGAAATCTTTATATATATCATGCATATCAAATACCAATAGGTTGCATGATATTACTGATGATACGCGTTACATATCAAGCTTAATTATTAATATACATAAACTTTGTTTTAGTATGAAACATGTTTGATTGAATCAAATGAGCATGTTAACAAATATGTAAGACTATACTGTATTGAAAATAGATCTGAAAATAAAACAAATATAAAAAAAGTTTGCTTTGAGAAATAACTTCAGTTATTGTTATATTATTAACAATATTTAAATGGCTATGTCATTGTAATGTTTAGGATAACTGGACTAGATCATAATCAGTGTTTCGGACCCATCAATAAAACCCTCTTATTAACCATTTGACTACACACTAACACAATTGTATGGTGATTTTTCAGTGGTATTATGCAGGCCACAATGTGGTTCTTCGGCATATTGGTGCTAAATATCGTACTACCACTGTGTCTGGGGAAAGAATCGACAGCAGCAGATAATGCGTTGGAATCTCACTGGGTAGACTTCTGGATGGTACGACTGTGTCTCAACATACTTGGATATGCCACTCTCTTCGTACCTGGTGCTCTTCTGATCAAATACTTCAGGGATAAACGCTACAATGAAACTGCAGGTAAGTGTTATATGGAGCCAGTTCAGCCTGTTTTGTACATGTTGTGACAGTTCAGTTGGCATGAGAAGATTATTGCATTCCAAAAAACATATGTCAACAATAAGAAAATAACTAACATATTCAAGGGTAAAGTGAACTTTTTTATTTACATGCAGTTTTCATTTACTACATATTTTTGTCAGTGTATTATCATTGAGTAGTTAGCATTTTCTTATCGTCATATATTACCGGTTTATAGCCAGCTTAATGTCAGCTATTACCAGTGTGATGTCAGTTATTAGCTCACCTGGCAAAAAGTGCAAGTTGAGCTTATGGTATGATGCAATGATGTGTTTTCTATTGTCCACCAACTTTTTCTTTGAATGACTTTTTCTTAAGAACTGGAGGACCTAGGGCCATGGTACTTGGCAAGTAGGTATCAGGGACAGAGTGCTATAAACTTTCCTCAAATAAATTACCTTGACCTACTTTCAAGATTACAATGGTCAAATGTTTTTAAAACCTTTAAACATCTTCTTTTGAATAACCAAGAGGCCTAGAGCAATGATATTTGGCCAGTAGGTACCTGTGACAGAGTGATATAAACTTTCCTTATAGAAATTACCTTGACCTACTTTCAATATATCAAAGGTCAAATGTGTTATAAACCTTTTAACAACTTCTTTAGAAAAACCAGGAGGCTGGGATAGAGTAGTTTCATTTAGCCTGGAACATTCTTAAGCCAAGGGGACTCAATATATGGAAATATTTGCAAAAGTATATTTATTGAGAATATTTTCCCATGATTGCTCAAATATTCAGGTGAGGAATACAGGCCCTCTGGGCCTCTTGTGAGTAGTTTGTTGACAATGTGATGTCAGTTATTACCCATTTGTTGTCTGTGTGGTATCATGATCAGTTATTACCAGTTTATTGTCAAGGTAATGTCAGTTATTTTACATGTTTCTTGTCAAAGTGATGTCAGTTACTATCTGTTAATTATAAATATAATGTCAGTCACTGAAGGTTTGTGGTCAGTTATTACCAGTTTGGTGTAAATGTGGTGTCAGTGACTACCAGTATGTTGATAATTTTGTAAACGACTACTGGGCATAAGGTCATCATCATCAATTTAAAATGCATATCTATATACTCTCGTTTTGAATTTTTGTATGTACATTGTCTTTGTTGTTGTTGGTTAATATAACTCCAGAAGTCCTATTCTTGCTATATTAGGGTCACACTCTGTGATGATTTATACTTTCCCTATCGGACAATTGTTTAGGAGCCCACTTGGTTTCTTAGTAATGTGACTCATCAGAATTTTGAAAAAGATGCTCAGGACTCGCGAGGAAAAACTATACCAAAATGAACCAAAGACCATTTGAATGTCTGGACAGATACCTGTGGTCTATAACTGAAAATAGTCTGTTTGCCCCATGAGAAAATGTTGGTCAAAATAAATACTATATGTTTACATCCTTGGCCTACTACTTGAGCTACATCTATGCTACCAGAATGAATTAAAAAATATTGTTTCAAAATCTGTATTAACCACATGCTTTGTATCTATCATTTACAGGCCCAGATTTGCTATCGCAGATTATCAAGAACTGTGTGTTCGGTCGGGAAACTGAGAAGGGTGTCCTGGAACAAGGCGGGTCATCTAAAACAGGTGGTAGCAGTGACGACAATGTTGGTCAATATCAGAAATGTGGCACTCTATTGTTCTGTGTGGCAGGCCTGCAGGGAGCCTACCTCACCTGGGGGGTCTTACAGGAGAGAATTATGACATTTGAATATGGAAAAACTGACACGGAAGCAGGAGAATTCTTCAAAAACTCCCAATTTTTGGTGTTCATCAACAGAATTTTGGCACTAGTTATTGGAGGTGTGGTGTTAGTGATGAGGGCCCAGCCCCCACACAACGCTCCTTTGTTTAAGTACTCCTACAGTTCCTTCTCCAATATCATGAGTAGCTGGTTTCAATATGAGGCCCTCAAATTTGTCAGCTTTCCTACCCAGGTGCTTGCTAAAGCTTCCAAGGTCATACCAGTCATGTTGATGGGCAAAGTAGTATCCCGTAAAACCTACGAATACAATGAATACGTCACCGCGTTGATGATATCGTTTGGTATAAGCATGTTCCTTTTAAGCAGTGGTGATGTGACACGGCATAAAGGAAGTGTAACAACTGTGTCAGGGGTGATATTGTTAGCAGGATACATTCTCTTTGATAGCTTTACATCAAATTGGCAGGGAGAATTGTTCAGAAGATACAAGATGTCCCCCATTCAGATGATGACAGGTGTAAATTTGTTCTCCTGCCTACTTACTGCTGTCTCCCTGCTAGAACAGGGTGGATTCTTTGATTCTGTAGCTTTCATGGGTCGTAACCCAGCCTTTATATTTCATGCCATGATCTTAAGTCTTTGTTCTGCTTTTGGACAATTGTTTATATTTTTCACACTCTCTAGGTTCGGACCAGTGACATTTACAATAATTATGACAATTCGACAAGGAATAGCTATCTTGTTGTCCTGTGTAATCTACGGCCATCCAGTGACATACATCGGGTTTTTCGGAATAATGGTGGTTTTCCTCGCTCTGTTTCTTAAAATCTATGCAGGCCACAGGAAGAAGCAAATTCAAAACGCCACACAACAGAGTAGTAATGGTGTGTCGAAAGTCTGATTCAAGTACATGTACATCAGGGTGTTGTATATTATTTTGTATGGAAAGTAAATCAACTAACAGGTAACCTGGATATATCTGGGACCACATCAAGGGTGTTAAAGTTGGGTTTCCTTTATCCATGAAAGCGGGAATGAATTTTTTCTATATCCTTCTTTATGACGAGAACGTAAAGGTTAACAATACAATTCTTTGTAGTATACAGGGTGGGAGATAAAATATGGTTACTTTACTACCAAGTTCATGCAAGCTCGTGTCACAACAAATGTGAAGTATGTTACTGATCTGTGGTACATTTCTGTGTTTCAGTGTCATTATTTAACCCATATTCTCTTTGGAAAACACTGATAAACAGTATACATGTTCAAACATTTTTTAATATATTTTTGTATGACTAAAGATTATTGGCTAGTATATTGTTACGAGGTAAACGTGATAGATCTAATGCTATAGTTTTGCCCTAACTTACATTTTGACTTTACCAGGACACAGTTATATCGTATTCATTTCACAGCAGTGGGGTAATTTACATTTATGGGAGAAAATTATTTGTTTTGCTATTATCCACAATCTCTTATATTTCTGCATGATTCTGCAGAAATTTACAAAGTTGACATGTGGGCTTAAAATGAATGACCATGAAAAGATCGTGATTTTGACATTTAGAAGGAAGTCTTTCTTTATTTATATGTAAACCACAGGTACTAGCCACATCTGTCAATACACCTATACTATAATTATATTATAAGTGTATTGACAGACGAGGCTAGTACCTGTGATATTAACCATTATTTCTGTAACCTGTGTAACATTGATGTTAAAATGACAATATACATAACCATTATGCTGTCTCAACATGACACTTCAGAGTTCACTAAAATAAAAACTATTACATTACTGTCAATACTGGCACATTAATAAGAAATAAACTCCCAAGTTTACCTGTTCAAAATGTATTCAAATGTCAACTAAATATAGTATCTTCCATTGTTTTTACCTGGGTAATAGAAGAATGAAACTGTGTTGGGTTTTTTTGCTTTAATTTTGTAATTATTTGGTTGATAAAGGATATCAGACTATTCATGTACATGCATATTATTGAAATGTTGTGTCAGTTAGTTTATAGTTTTATATAAATAGCTTGTGTTTGTGCAGTTTAATATGATTTTTTTTCTAGATTTATTGTGAACACGTCCTGATCTTATAACCAAATATGCAAAGGTTACTTATTCATGATATCCTAATTTGCTTGCTCTCTTCTCATTTTATTTATTTTGTAGAAAGTAATTTCCTTAAAAAGACATGTATCCAAGCCGTACTTATAAATTATTCTGATAAACTGACATTATCTATCAGTATCCGATAATCTCGTTCAGTTTGTCAAGTCTGTCATCATAAACAAATAAATGTCATAATTTATGCCATTGCGATGTCAAATTATAAATTGGTAACAAAACAAAAACCCAAACCATGAAACAAGAGTCTATACCAAATATACTGTTTTGTCAATTTTTAATGTTTTATAGAGAAACTGCAGACAAAATAATCTATTTATTATTGCTAATGATTTCTCTTGATCTCATGGTGATACAATGTAGAATCTCATGTTCATATACACCTTGATTGTGATTTTTTCAGCTTATACTGAAATACAGAGAGACCACTACACTGTTTTAATAGAGCTGCGATGATTTTATGTTTGAAATATTTTTACATCAAACATGATGAAAATCTCAAGTTAATCTTACAATAGTCCTAATATATGTTCCATAGCAAAAATTGTAGCAGAAACATCACACTCTGTAACAAATTCAGCCAAGTCAATTAATATTGCAGGTTGTGTTTCTGCACAACAAATTGCGTAGACATTATCAGACTGTCATGAAATTTTGTTGCATGTACAAAGACTATAAGCCTCAGTTGGATTTAGAGTGAAATCTGTGGAAAAGTAATCAGCATATTCTTTAAAAAACTTTCGTATTTGGTTGACAGTAACCACAAAATAGTATAATCAAATATGACTTGATATATATTCCTTTAAAACTTGGGTCAGCATTTATGCTGTACAAAAGAAAGGCTAAGTATGAATTTGTTGGCAAAATTAACAAGGGAAATAACTCTTGTACACTTGAGGTAATATGCAGATCTCTCTGTAGTTCATTATAGAAACATGTTTTACTGTAACAAACCAAACCAAACGTGTATTGTCATATTTTTTTGTACACAATTTTATATATCCCGGTTTCTGATGTGATCTGACATTGTTTATGTGTATGATACACTTGTCAACTTTAAATGCTCATTATGTTAATCCTACATTAATATGAATACATAATGTACCTGGTAGATAAATGCATTATTCAAACAGGATTAACATATCTACATAAAAACAAAAGAAATCTGTCTTGGTTACTGTTAAAATTATTTTTTAGCTGAGGGATTTAATATGATAGTACTGGGTACATAATATTACCGTAATAACAATTATCATTTATATATATATCTACAAAGGTTTGGGAAGGCTGAAAGGTATTATTTTGACGGAATTTCTCCATTGAATGCTTTTCTTGGTAATTTGTTTTTTTTTACTACGTTGAACATTACAGATTATGATATTATTAAATGAATTGTACGGTTATACAATTACATGCAAATGCTTAGAGAATTACTATTTTCCTAGTGAAAGACCCAAAAAAGTACCTAATTGTTTTTTTTAGTTTAAAATAATACAGGATCAACAGGTACATGTATTTCTCCACACTTTACTATTAAAGTAACTAGCCTGTGTAGTTTAGCGGCATTTACAAGTTATAAACAAGTTTCTCAATGTGTACAACTTATTTTCCTTAACAATCTCTGTCTGTCTTCTTGGTTCTAGGATGAAATATGTTATGTCACCTCTGTGAAGAGTTCCAAGGTAGAATAACGCCAAGACATAAGAGACATTAAGTTGTACATAGAATATAATTTATTTTTTTATCTCATGTCACACTTTAATTTGCAAAAGAAAAAGGTATTTTGTTATCTGTTACTCGAGCAGTTGCTTTTTGTATGTGTCGCATCAATTTTTATATTACTTCTGTGTGAAATGACACAATAATTGTGTCCTGGTTTTTTTATATAAAAACACCCATTTGGCAAGAGGAAGTGTTATAGTTGGCATCCAGTCTTGGGAGAGTTTATCATGTACAATTTACTCACTAAAACAAGTTAGGTTATACCATGTAATCACAATTCGTTCTTTTGTTGCAGATGTATTGATTTATCTCAATTTGTCACAGCACTTGTTTTCCTTCACTCAAATCTCTCCCAATTCTTGGGGTCCTGATATATAATATTACGTTGTAGATCATTTCAGATTGTTGATCCTGGTCACAGACGTCATTGACTCATATGAGTTTAATTATACTGTACCTGGTACCACCTGCTACGAAGTAAGAAAGGCTATTCTGAAATCAGGTTGTTGTCTATCTATCAGTAGTCAGAATCTTGTCCAGCAGTTTTCATCCGAATATTTTCATATACCGACCAAAATCAATTGAAGGCTTTTTAACTTGCATCGTCAGCTTTAAATGATTATTTTTTTAATCTTGCATTTTTGTGGGAGTTATGTTCCCTTTTTCAAAAAATTTCACCGAATTATGTCTCAGGTACAACTGAAACCGGGTTTTTTTATCAAAATTTTGTAATATCTTCACAGATGCATTTACTTCACTCAGAAATTATGCACCTATGCTTATTTTCACCAGTGTTTATGAAACTTGGTACACATGAATAGTAGCTGTAATAGGTAGTTCTGTGATTGCAACTTATATTTTAGTTGAAATATTTTGTTATTGATGTTATGCCTCCTTATTGATTGGTTATGACAGATTGTGTATTCATTGATGGTGTCAAGACCTCTGTTGTTCCATTGTTATCAGTGCAGATAGGGAAATCCTCAAATTTATCATCTTTAAAGATATGGTTAAAATTCACTTTATATTGTTACAGTGTGTATTTTTGTTGGTGCACATATAACACATATCATACTTTCATGAATTATAATATCCTCACAAGAAAGATAATCAGAAAACAAATAACGAATTTTGATTTAAGGCACACAACTGTAGCAAGTTAAAATATTTGAATTGCAGAAAATCTTTTAAGCAACATTTCCATTTATTCTATTTTCCAATATTTGAGATTTTTTCCCCCTTTTTCCTTTCATCAAATGTAATAAAGAACATTTAAAACTCACAATTTGATTAACCAATAATTTTATTTTCTAGCTTTTACTTTGTATGTATTCTTATACATTCTCAAGACATTTTTGTCTTTATAACCCTGTTCTAAATCGCACAAGAGTGTTAAGTCCCGTCAATCAATTAGTTTATTACAATTGTTCCATACCAATGGAAGACAATGGGGACATAGATATAGAGGACCACAAGCCAGTTTATTTTACCTAGGATATTCATAAGGACAGGGCTTTTATTTGACATTCTTTTTATCATACAATAGTCCTTTATTGATCATGGATTGTCCTGGATTTGATTTTATCAGATCTTCATGCATGTTATATTTCATGGAAAGGACAGAAAACTTTACAAGTGTGTTTCTGATTTAGCAAGTGAAATTCTTTATCATTCGAAGACATTCCTAACGGCTAAAATAGTCTGTTTCAACCCCTGTACTTGTGTCATCACAATTGGTGTTGTAACACATATCACATGCATGTAAAACAATCATGTGATGGTACTATTTGAAATAAAAGTCAAATCAAAATATAAAGTGCTGTCTCCATATGTACTGGTAATGCAGCACCAGGTATACAATATCTGTTATGTTGGTTCTTATTCTTCAAGTCTAAAAAAAACTTGGTGACACAACTGTATTCTGATACCCTGTCACAACCTAAAGACTAACACCATGACACAGTATTATTAAAGCCAAATCTTCTATTAATGCCTCAGTTAAAATTATAACAGGTTTAATATTTAATATGTTTACCTGTTAGATTGATATAGTTTCTAATTTGTATGATGCAGTGTAATTCTTTTTTGGCAAACTGTATCTATTACTAAAGATTCAGTCATCTGTGTGTGTGTTATTTATGTTTATCTTAGAAATGATTAGATCTGAAACCTTATACATTATTTATACTCGTAACAAACATCTACCTGCAAATACATGTAATCTGTAGTCTATTGTTTGGTTTAAAATGATATGTGTATACCAGTAATTTCCGTTACACTTTCGTCCACCCAACTCAAACTTCATACCATTCAAAGATCCAAGCCCCGGTACTTTTGAATCATTTTACCCCTGAAGTTTTCCTCTGAAACCCCCCCGGACAAAAGCAAGTCTACTACTAGAAGAGCGGGTGGGTAAGGCTTCTGCTACTGTACTACAGGACATGTTGTGTAAGAGGATTTCTATGTTACAGAGAGTGAAGGATATGTTGTGTAAGAGGATTTCTATGTTACAGAGAGTGAAGGACATGTTGTGTAAGAGGATTTCTATGTTACAGAGAGTGAAGGACATGTTGTGTAAGAGGATTTCTATGTTACAGAGAGTGAAGGACATGTTGTGTAAGAGGATTTCTATGTTACAGAGAGTGAAGGACATGTTGTGTAAGAGGATTTCTATGTTACAGAGAGTGAAGGACATGTTGTGTAAGAGGATTTCTATGTTACAGAGAGTGAAGGACATGTTGTGTAAGAGGATTTCTATGTTACAGAGAGTGAAGGACATGTTGTGTAAGAGGATTTCTATGTTACAGAGAGTGAAGGACATGTTGTGTAAGAGGATTTCTATGTTACAGAGAGTGAAGGACATGTTGTGTAAGAGGATTTCTATGTTACAGAGAGTGAAGGACATGTTGTGTAAGAGGATTTCTATGTTACAGAGAGTGAAGGACATGTTGTGTAAGAGGATTTCTATGTTACAGAGAGTGAAGGACATGTTGTGTAAGAGGATTTCTATGTTACAGAGAGTGAAGGACATGTTGTGTAAGAGGATTTCTATGTTACAGAGAGTGAAGGACATGTTGTGTAAGAGGATTTCTATGTTACAGAGAGTGAAGGACATGTTGTGTAAGAGGATTTCTATGTTACAGAGAGTGAAGGACATGTTGTGTAAGAGGATTTCTATGTTACAGAGAGTGAAGGACATGTTGTGTAAGAGGATTTCTATGTTACAGAGAGTGAAGGACATGTTGTGTAAGAGGATTTCTATGTTACAGAGAGTGAAGGACATGTTGTGTAAGAGGATTTCTATGTTACAGAGAGTGAAGGACATGTTGTGTAAGAGGATTTCTATGTTACAGAGAGTGAAGGACATGTTGTGTAAGAGGATTTCTATGTTACAGAGAGTGAAGGACATGTTGTGTAAGAGGATTTCTATGTTACAGAGAGTGAAGGACATGTTGTGTAAGAGGATTTCTATGTTACAGAGAGTGAAGGACATGTTGTGTAAGAGGATTTCTATGTTACAGAGAGTGAAGGACATGTTGTGTAAGAGGATTTCTATGTTACAGAGAGTGAAGGACATGTTGTGTAAGAGGATTTCTATGTTACAGAGAGTGAAGGACATGTTGTGTAAGAGGATTTCTATGTTACAGAGAGTGAAGGACATGTTGTGTAAGAGGATTTCTATGTTACAGAGAGTGAAGGACATGTTGTGTAAGAGGATTTCTATGTTACAGAGAGTGAAGGACATGTTGTGTAAGAGGATTTCTATGTTACAGAGAGTGAAGGACATGTTGTGTAAGAGGATTTCTATGTTACAGAGAGTGAAGGACATGTTGTGTAAGAGGATTTCTATGTTACAGAGAGTGAAGGACATGTTGTGTAAGAGGATTTCTATGTTACAGAGAGTGAAGGACATGTTGTGTAAGAGGATTTCTATGTTACAGAGAGTGAAGGACATGTTGTGTAAGAGGATTTCTATGTTACAGAGAGTGAAGGACATGTTGTGTAAGAGGATTTCTATGTTACAGAGAGTGAAGGACATGTTGTGTAAGAGGATTTCTATGTTACAGAGAGTGAAGGACATGTTGTGTAAGAGGATTTCTATGTTACAGAGAGTGAAGGACATGTTGTGTAAGAGGATTTCTATGTTACAGAGAGTGAAGGACATGTTGTGTAAGAGGATTTCTATGTTACAGAGAGTGAAGGACATGTTGTGTAAGAGGATTTCTATGTTACAGAGAGTGAAGGACATGTTGTGTAAGAGGATTTCTATGTTACAGAGAGTGAAGGACATGTTGTGTAAGAGGATTTCTATGTTACAGAGAGTGAAGGACATGTTGTGTAAGAGGATTTCTATGTTACAGAGAGTGAAGGACATGTTGTGTAAGAGGATTTCTATGTTACAGAGAGTGAAGGACATGTTGTGTAAGAGGATTTCTATGTTACAGAGAGTGAAGGACATGTTGTGTAAGAGGATTTCTATGTTACAGAGAGTGAAGGACATAATGTGTAAGAGGATTTCTATGTTACAGAGAGTGAAGGATATGTTGTGTAAGAGGATTTCTATGTTACAGAGAGTGAAGGACAGTTTACACTAACATACTTGTCTCCATTCCAGTATGTTTACACATTTAACGTACCTTTACATTGTATGGTAAAACAGTTTTTAACGTTTTCATTTGGACATTTGCATTGCGCATTATTTGTGATAATCTGTTGTTTTATTTTTGTTTTATAAATATTTGAGATTCGCATAAACTAATGTGAAAAAGTAGTTATCTTTGATTATTAGTTGTGGTGAATGTGTTTTTGTTGGGGTTATATTTCGCTCGGGTGGAAGTATATTTGTGTAGAAATGTAGTGCTATATATATTGATTGGTACATAATTATCTTTGTTAGATCAACATCAGTTGGGACTGTCTGTAATGTATACTATGCCATTAACATGCTTAACACTCTTTGTAAACCAATGCAATAATATGGACTTTTGTTGAGACTTACAATTTAACAATGGATCAGTGGAGAAAACATGAACTTTGTAAGGCTAGTAATGGAAACTGTTAACTTTACCAATTCATATCATATTAGTATATACCAAATTCTTGCTTTTTGTGTCGCCTGCGAAAAGCTGGTAACACATAGGTATTGCTATGTCGGCGTTGGCGTTGTCGTCCGAACAGAGGTTTTCATGCTATACTTGAGTTTCTGTGGGCCGATCAAACTCAAACTTAATGCAGTGCTTCCTTACCAAAAGTGCTTGCTTGGGATTGCTTTTCAGGTCCGAAGATCAAAGGTCAACGTCACTGTTACTATAAATGGAAACTTCACTAAAACTGTATACTGGACGGCTTCGATCTACCACTTGACAACTCACCGTATATACCTCTGAAATGCCGTCTTACTCCAAATGTTATTGACAACACTATCTGTTTAACATCATAATCCACAAGTTTATTCATTTATTTATGGGAAACCATCCGACAAATCATACAAATTAAACTTGGAATTGAGATAATGAGTATCCATAGAAAGTTCCTTAAAACTCAGAATAACAGATTATATAACAAAATGATGCCATCCAAAAACATTATCTATGATTATTGCTTACTTTTAACAGTATTTCTTGAAATGAAAAGTGTATCTATTTCTTCGCAATCTCCCAGCTTCCTGCGCAGGCGACACATCCACTTCCGTGGAATTCTTGTGTTGTAATAGGATGTATTGCTATTAACTTATACGATGTATAATGAGAACAGCATTACATGTATAATGTACATGTAATTTGCTTCTATAGTGGTTACACGGTGTCGGTGTGCATGCATATGAATGGCATCCATAGACTATTCAAAATGTTACATTGCTCTAGGAACTGTGGGAAGTAACGGATGCTTTGGCGGATTTGTAGTTGTGGCAGTACTGTCTAAACATCCTGATCTGCAGATATGGTTTAAGGTTTCTGCAACTCCACCTCTAGATTGGGGTTTTCATACCTGGCACTAGACATGAGTTAAGGTATAAGAAGCATACCGGTAATAACTTTACAGGTGTAGATATGCCTCGTCCTCTTGTCACTTTAAATTGTACTGTTTGTCATCATGCTAACTTTGAGTATCTCATTGTATTTATTGTCTTAAAAAACAGATAATTGCTTCTATAGATCAGTTTGTATGCCACTTTATATACCCTTGTTATGGATTATCAAATTGAGGAGAAAATCTCATATTTGCATATTTTTTAAGAATAGATAGTGGCATATACATCGTATGTGGAGCATAACAATTTTTACCATGCCAAGTAAAGAAAATAAAATATTTGAAGGTCAGATCGGCGTTAAGTTGCTTACTTTATGTATTTTTGGAATAGATCTAATAAAGCATGTCTGGGACCAGGGCCCGTATTCATGAAACCATTCTCGTTCTCAAACTCACATTCTGTCTCTAAGGCCAACTTCTTGTTTCAATGTAATTTCTTAAAATCAATAAAAAAAAAGTATATTTTATCAATGATTTGGAATATATAATAGCATGACTTTTTGACCATGTCACATGACTTTACCAAATAAGTTACTGTTTGGAGCACAAAATCCATTTTTGAGCATGAGAAAGATGTCGTAAGTATTGGCCCAGAGATGTTATTTAATTTTTTTTAAACTATTTTCATTTACGGTGAAGTGTAATTGAACTCTTAGAGAAAATTGTTACATTCATGAACTTGTTTTGAATGATCACACATCATGGCTATACTAGTAAGCATTGTGAGAATCGATAAATACCTGCACAGCTTAGTAAAAAAAGACATGCCATTTCCTGTTACAGTTTGTATTTTCATGACGGTATATGTCGTACATACATGCCAGAATTCTTGGAGACCATTCTGCGAGTTTTACAATCATTTTAAGGGAATTGAGGCTCAAATAAAAGAGGTTTTATTCGCGGCATTTTTCACGGCAAAAAAACTTATCCTATTCAACAAAATCAATGATATATAGTACAAAGTAAGGATAAAATTGGCTGTTGCCGTCAAACGTTCTTGTGACCATCACGGTGGGGAAACGAAGCGGTGAACGCACATTTCTCATGTGAAATTTTTCACTGTCTCATGGCAATATCACCCGCGCCCCTTAAAACTAATGTATTTTCGGAGTGTGACAGAGATTTTTGTTTAATTTCCTCCCAACCAATCAAATAGCTAGAAATTCACTTGAGGTGTAACAATATATATATATATATATTAGGTAGCACAAAGTTTACAAAACAAAATATTATCACATAATTAATTGAGATGAACTGAAAAAGCAGATTTTACTTTAAATTTCACAATTTAGTTGGACAGGTCAATATTCACAGCAGCCACAGTACTACTGATGTTTAAGTTAGGAGACATCAACTTTGAACTGTGGATTTTGATGAGTTTATAAGGATTACAGTTGTCTTTGTTCATTTTCATTTGAACTTCTGAGCATTGTTATATAATCTGGAAACATGCATTTAACAAGAGGACAGAAATAATCAGCTGTGAAAGAAAAGCAAACCGTGTTTTGCATTTGAACTTTTAAATTCAATATTTCAGCATTCAGATCAAAGCCATTTTCCATCTTCTTTGATATGCCCCTGACTGGCCGTTCTCTGATCTTATATCAGTATATTTGTTAAGAAACACGTAGCCAGACATCATATTTTTCAAAGTGTCTAACAATGAACTAACGTTACAAACATGACGGAAAACATTAATGTGCTAATTCTACTGACTTCACGGTAAAATTTTGATGGTGAAGCCGACACCGTAAGCATTGGGTAAGAGTGTCTGGCAGTCTGATAGTATCACAGAATTGAATAGCAACAATAAGAAGGGATGAAATTAAATATATTATATGGATTTATTTCTATCGTTCGAATTACTTATTGTAAAAGACAGCATGATTTATCGCTGATAACATAGTTGAATCTCGTAAAACTTTGAGTAACCAACGGGAAAGGGGTTCACCGATCGATCATTAAAAAGCATGAGGCTTTGAGGACTTTCCATGAATTCATGCCCCACGCCGTGAGACTTTAACAGAGGTGAAAATCTGAGATCTGGCATGTATATATGGTCTTGTTGATATAAAAAAGAATGTCTTTAAATGACCCGGGCTGTTAATAGGACATTTAACAAAATGAAACCAAATGATAGAAATATATGTTGTTTATTTTACAAATGATTAAGATATATTGAAATTTGTCAAATGTACAAAATATTTGGCCCTATGTAAGAAAAATTACAGTGCTACATGTATTCAATGTTCATTTCTTTAATTGATAGGTAAACTGTGCTTGTGTACCGACCACACATGACCAAATATATACAAAGACATTCAATGTCATTTATTTTCACAATTCTATTACTAAGTTCATACATATTTTGTAAAACAACAATTATAACCCTTGCATTCAGTCCTGGTCAAGGTCAGTGTGATTTACCATCATGTAGACATGTATACAACTATTTAAGATTTTCTTGTGATTTTATGCATGCTATCACAATGCTCAACTGTAGCCTTGTAGCAGTCTGACCGAGTACCATTGTAGATAGTATTGGTAGATCTCAACTTTTTAATAGTAAAGACAAATGCTCCTACTAATCAAGGTATGAACTATTAGATACAATAATGAACGTGCTATTTTTTTTTTCATTAATCATTTTCTTAACTGATGTCCACTCTTAACCCATTCACCACTAGTCACTTTTCCACCTTACTAAATCAAAGACTGGACAAGTCTAGTTTAGATATATGTAGGGATGAATGAGTTTAGTAACATTTTTTTTTTGTTTCACTTAACGTTTTCTATGCTTAAAAACCGTGCAGAATGTGTGAACATAATGGAAGCATAAAACTTGTATTGTTCATTAATATGCAAGTACACTTGTACTATAAATTTACCTAACAGAATATAGCTGACACACCAGAGATGGTCTGAATGCTGTAATTCAGGGGAAGTAGTGTATACGAAGGTTAATGTTATACAACTGATGGTTAAATAAAATACTCTTTATACAAACTCCGTCTTCAATGTTCTTTGTCATAATTTTGCAAAAAAGTTCCTTCAAGCTTTAGATTTTTGAAAGTTTACCTATTTCCCCCTCACAAATGACTTTTTTTTAACCCACAAAACAAATGTAACTGGATCAATGGTCCAAACGGGACAATATTAAGTTTCCTTCTATATTTCATAACTATTTCTCCTCACACATAACACTTTCTTGTCCAGAAGACCAGAGGTAGTTGGTCCATACGGGATGTGCCATCCATCTTCAGATTCCTGTACAAGCATATCTGGACTTTCAGGAAACTGAAAAGATAATTACACTTGTGTTACATGTTTGCACCATTTCGACTGCAGTGATGACGACCACACTTTTGTGTTACTAAACATAGTCTTAATAACACGGATATTAACCAGCAATTCTTGCAACAGAATATAGTAAAAGTAGCCTTGTCATACTGCCACCAATTGTTCTCAGCAATGTTGGTATTAAAAAAATGCTTTGCTATCAATTGTGGGAAAGGTAGAAAGAAATTATGTAGAAAATGAGAAGACGGGATCTTGACATATGTTGGCGGAAGCAAGGTGGTGAATGAAACGAGATGTATCATATGGTGGTTTTTACTGTATAAATCAAATATCGAAATGTAACAAGAAAATAATACATTGTATAACACTCCAGGAAATAATATTTATTTCTAGAACGTCTTGAAAATGGAAAACATACACAATGTACTATTTTTAGCTCACCTGGCCCGAAGGGCTAACTGAGCTTATGCCGTACTGCGTCGTCCGTCGTCCGTCGTCCGTCGCCCGTCTGTCGGTCAACTTTTTCATTTGAACGACTTCTTCTGAAGAATATTTTTCACAATTACAGTAATGAGGTCAAAGGTCAAATTTAAATGCTAGTCGGGGGTCAAATGTCAACTTTGGTTAAAAGCTTTAACAATCTTCTTCTCAAGTTCCATTAGGCCCAGGGTCATAATATTTAGCCAGCAAGTACCTGGGATGTAGTGCTATACACTTTCCTCATTCAAAAGACCTAGACCTGCTTTGAAGGTCACAGGGGTCAAATATGTTTAAATTTCAAACAACAATATCCTAAGAACCATTTGAACTTGAATCATGATACTTGGGTATGTTATGTAGACCAGCAGTTTGAATATTTTTCTCAGTTACAGTTATGAGGTCAAAGGTCAACTTTAAATGCTAGTTGGGGTCAAAATTCAACTTTGGTTAAAAGCTTTAACAATCTTCTCAAATTCAATAAGGCTCAGGGTCATGATATTTGGCCAGTAGGTACCTGGGATGAAGTACTATAAAGTTTCCTTATTAAAATGACCTTGCCCTACTTTCAAGGTCACAGGGGTCCAATATGTTAAAAACTTCAAACAACAATATCCTAAGAACCATTTGGACTAGAGTCATGATACCTGGGTATGTTATGTAGACCATCTGTGAGAATTGTTTTCTTTAATATGAAAAGGCAAAACCTTAAAAGAGCGAAGTTTTTGTTGATCTCTGATATTTACTGATTTAGAATGAGATAATACTGCTTTCAGAATGAGACAAGATAAAATCTATTTAAAGTCGGCTAGTCGAAGGATAACAATAAAACATCAACTCTAATGAGATTAAGACTGACATAATAGCAGCAGAGATCGGGGCAAATTCGGCCCATTTTTATTAAAGTCCGTTTTGGGGAGTATGGCAGCACGTCCGTTTTTGAAAATTATTTAATATCCCTCTCAGATGATCGGATGGCCGAACGAGCCCTGCTATGGGATAAGTTCGGCCAGGCATTCGGGTAAGTTCAGCCCCATTGGAATCAGCTTAATTATGACGTTATAAAGCATGCACGTCAGATTTTACCGCCAACTTTACGACTTTTTATGTGTTACATGGGCCAAACTTGCCACAGTATCATTGGCTGAAACTGTCCGGGCCCAAGTTGATATTTCAATAAATTCTTATCGTACAGCGCAATATGGTAGCGAGTGCTTGGCTTTGCTTTTATGTACATGTATATCATTTGAAGCTGTCAGTGTGTTACACGTTTGACCATAAAAAAAATAGAGAAAGTTCGCATAACTAGAAGCGAGATCATGATTATCTTTCTCCTGTTAAGTAATTTTACATTAGAGTTTTCCTTGCCATTTTTTCGTGTGAATGCCCAGCCAACTGAACTGCTAAGATCTTTAAAGTTGTAAATATATCAAAAACAAAAATATCAGGGGTGGCCGAACTTGCCACGGTCTCCCGTATATAGATTTTTTGATACCTTGATGATTGGTGAAAATATATTCACAATATAATTTTTGCATCAATGACACCATTTTCAAAGCTAAAGTAGATATTTGTTCTTGTGCGTAATGATGGGTCGGTGGCGTAGTGGATAGCGCGCTCGTCTTCACAAAGATGGCCGGATTCAATCCCGGTTACCAGCCCGACCACGCAGGTTTTCTCCGGATATTCCCGTTCCTCCCACATTAAGAATTAAATCATCTGCGTGCTTCCGCCAGGTCACAAAAATAATGATTGAATTGAGGTGGGAAAACACTATTTGGTAATTACTATAGAAAAAAGTGCATATTACATATTTGACAATAAGTCAATAAAAGTAAATGTATAGAGATGTTAGTTAAAAAAATGAAATTAAAAAAAGAAAACATTGTTATACTTTGATGTAACTGAGATTGTCGTTATATCGATATTTAGAATTCCTGTTCCATCCTGAAACACCGGATTGAATTTCACATTTGGTAACTGTCACTGAGGTTTGACAAGTAATGATGCCAAATAAAATTAAACAGTTTCTGTCTGTAAATAGTTATAAGTTATATGTTGCTGAAAAAGGGCGTTTATTGTTGATTTCGACATAAATGAATTATCCATTGTTTCTTTTATGAGTGTTGATGCATACATAAATTATGTAAAGACTATAACAGGACTATCAAATTTTTTAATAATTTCATTCATATCCTCAACTAATGAAAACAAAAGCTGATGAAATTTTAGACGATGTAAAATAAATGTACACGTTGACCTATTGGTTTAATGCGGCTCTTTTTGAAAATATCTCCCGGTAGAAACATTAACAGAACTTGAACAGTAGTTGATGACAAAAAGGATCTTCAGAAAACATCTGCGTTTTTACTTTTTGTGCCTGTGGCAAAAACTGAAATTAAAAAGTCATGAAAGAGATAAATGCAACGACCAATCAGTTCCAAGATTTTCCGGAAAAAAACGATGAAGGCAGATGGAGTGTGGCGTGATTGTGACGTCATCGTATGATAATCTCTGTATGACGTTTCATGCCTGGTAGTATCAAAATTTATGTGATAGATTTTTTTCAAACATACATGTTATGTATATTAGTTTTTATCGAAATAAACAGTTAATAAAACATGGGTATTGTTTTCACTCTATGAAGATGTTCATGTATGGGTTGAAACACAATTGTCTTTGCTTCAAGGATACACTTCCGGTTTCCCCACTGGACGTCTACTTCCGGACGAAAATAAATTAAAGACAAGGTGTAGAAAGGGGAAGCGACTCTGTTTACGCACACATGTCTTACCATTAAAAAGCTTCGCTCGCACACCTTTGGCGCCCGAGAGCTACGCTCTTATTACAGTAATGAGGTCAAAGGTCAACTTTAAGTGCAAGTCGGGAGTGGTCAATATGGGTTAAAAGCTTTAAATCAAAATTTCAAGTTTCAAACAACAATATCTTCAGAACCGTTTAAGAGGTGTTAAAATGTCTTGTAGTTACCAAATTTGGTCTGAAGTTACCTATATGTCAGTTGCATGTAACAAAAGAAACAGGTGAGTGATACAGGCTCTATGGGCCTCTTGTTTATGTTTTTTTTTTTTACCTCATTTAGACAAGATACATATATTAATTATTTGGTGAATGTAGCTGAAATAGAGAGAATGCTATGCTGCAAATTTTCATTCAGTAGACAAAAAAACACAAATTTAGCATGTGACATTTCACCTTAATTCTGCATAAGTATCAGAAGTTTGATGAATGTAGGTTAAATAACAAGAAAGTTATGCTCCTTACAATCTTTGGTATGAAAAAAAGATCAAAAGGCAATAACCGTATGGAGCGGGACAGGAGACTTTAGTATTCACCACTCTGCCTTCCAGAGGTACATAATCATTGTAGGTTTGATGAATACAAGCGAAAAGTAAGCAAGTAATGCTTCAGACAAACTTCATTACTTAACTCCACTAAAAATTGACGTAAAACCCTGAAGTGAACAGATTATTTATATAAGACGTTTTATTGAAATATGTCTTAGGAGAGTAAAGACAAAGAAAAGATGATGGATGGACACTGAAGGGTATAAAGTATTCTACCAAATTCACAATGTTACAACGATTTTCATTGGTTAATAGCCATGGATAATTAGATGATAGACCATGGGTGTGCATGTATTATTTCCAACAGACCAATGCTCTCCCAAAAACCTTCCCCCGCAAATGTACCATTATAAAACAAGTGAGAAACAGGACTGGTTTCATTTGTCAAATTAGGGTATCTGCATTTAATTTTGAATGTATTTGAAGATTTGCTAGTTGACAAACAAAAAACATCTACTTAAATGTTCCGCTAAGTAGACTTTCAATGGTATTTGTAAATCTGTCAAATTCTGATTTCATGTGAGGAGCTCTGGCAAATCAAACCCCTCAATCCACCCTAGAACGACGCTACCACATTTTTCGACAGGAGTGTTGGACGGGAAAATCCGGGGATGGCCGTTTTGATTCTCAAAAACGAGAGACATCACATGTATGTTTATATAAGAAGTTATTTATGCAGTACATTATGGTCTGTCACAACACTGACCCCCTACCAGCATGAGAGTATGAGAGAGGTGCAGTACATTATGGTCTGTCACAACACTGACCCCCTACCAGCATGAGAGTATGAGAGAGGTGCAGTACCCATGTCCATGTTGCCAAAGTTATGACATGTATAATAACAAGAGGCCCAATGGAACTGCATCCCTCAAATGGTGTTTATCTCAAGCTTGTAACCTTAAGATAGAACTTAATAAAAACTTAAATAGAAATTAAAACTCTTCAATATCGTATTTCATTTCTATAAACCGGTATTTCCTGTGTCACAAATATCATTACAGCCACAGGATCCCTTTCAGTTTACATTCAAGTACATTTTTGCACATTCTCAAAGCTGTGTATAAAAACATTAAAACATATTACTTACAATTAATTTGGATCTACCCAATATGGTGATCTGTCTGCAACTTTGCCACCTCTGAAAAGCCAGCTGCATTTTGCTCCCAAGTTGGCATGAATGATCAGAAAACTTGTCATTGCTTAGCACCTTAGTGTTGAATCCACAGTGAAAAACGGCATCTAATATGTTCAAATCATCTACGTAGCTGCAATAAACCAAGGGAAATCATAATAATAATCATCGATGCTGATCCTTACAGAATAGAAGAGATAAACATAAGCATATATATTTCTTTAAATTATTCATAATATTGTACCATTCTACCTAATTAAATCTTACAAGGTTACATCTTAAAGCCTGATGAAACTATTCAATACACCTAGACCCAAAACAACACTGTATGCAAACAGCTTTTTCCGTCAACTGATGACTGCGTGGAACAGACCTAGGCCTGACAGTAACTTTATAATTATAACAAGAGGCCCAGATGGCCTGTATCGCTCACCTGGATATCAAAAGTAATCATGGCAAAATATTCTCCATATCTGTATTAGATTTTTCATGCCCAGCAATTTTATGTATGGTTATGGTGTGAGGATCTCAACTGTTTCCAAGGTGTGATTCAGAAACTAGGTCCCTAGGGTTGTGGTCAGACCCCAGGATCATTTATACTATCATGACTGCATTTGTCTCTTTATGCCCAACAATTGTGTATATAGTATTGGGCTGGGGATCTTAACCGTTTCAAAGTTATGACCCAGGGGTAAAATCTCCAAGGGTGGGGCAGACCCTGGGGTCAATTCTTATATCATGACTGCATTCGTTTCTTTGTGCCCAGCACTTGTAGTTATGACCCAGGTACTATGTCTCCAAGGGTGGGGCCAGACCCCTGGGCAATCCTGGAATCATATGTGAATTCTTCTCTTCATACTCAGCACTTATATATGTGGTAATAGGGTGAGGATCTCTACTGTTTCCAAGCAATAAACTATGTTTTGCCCCACCATTTAGCCAGGGAGTTCAGCCCCACTACTTTTGAATCCCTGCTTCTCATGAATGCTTCTGACCAAATATGATTGATATCCAGTGCATAGTCCTACAGAAGAAGTCATTATAGCAATTTAGCCAAATTGCCCCCTTTTGGCCCCACCCCTCCTTACCCTTGGGGGTCAGCCCCACCATTTGTACAATTTTAAAACCCCACTACCAAGGAAAGCTTCCAGTCAAATATGGTTGATATCAATCTCTTAGTTCTATAGAAGAAAAGTTGCTTAAAGCAATATAGCCAAATAACCCTTTTTTGCCCCAACCCTCAGCCTCCTGGGGGGTCAGCCCCACCATTTGTACACTTTTGAATCCCACCCTCTCATGAATGCTTCTGACCAAAAATGATTGGTATCCAATGCATAGTTCTACAGAAGAAGTCATAGCAATTTGGCCAAATTGCCCCCTTTTGGCCCCACCCCTCCGCCTCCTTGGGGGTCAGCCCCACCATTTGTACAATTTTGAATCCCCACTACCTAGGAATGCTTCCAGTCAAATATGTTTGATATCAATCTCTTAGTTCTATAGAAGAAAAGTTTCAGAGGAGAAGTCATTTATAGCAATATAGCCAAATTGTCCCCTTTTGGCCCTGCCCCTCAGCCCCCTGGGGGGTTAACCCTACCATTTGTACAATTTTGAATCCCCATTACCTAGGGATGCTTTCAGTCAAATTAAGTTAAATTCCAATCAGTGGTTAAGAAGAAGTCATTTGAAGAAATTGTTGACGTACAGACGACGGTCGGACACCACAGTATGGCATAAGCCTCTATTGGGCCCCGCCCCTCTGCCCCCAGGTGGGCCACACTCACTGTTTATATAAAATTGAGTCCCTTTTGCCCAAGGATGCTCGTTGAATCCCCACTATGATTATACTAGGCCTCTTGGTTATTCAGAAAAAGTTGTTAAAAGGTTTTAACAAATTTGACCACTGTGACAGACCCTGAATATAAGTAAAGGTCATTCATTTAAACAAACTTTATAGCCCTTCATCCCAGCATGTAACTGGCAAAATATCATTATCCTAGGCCTCTTGGTTATTCAGACCCCTATGACCTTGGATATAGATCAAGGTTATTCATTTGAACAAACTTGGTAGCCCTTTATCCCAGCATGCTACTGGCCAAATACCATTATCATAGGCCACTTCGTTATTCAGAATAAGTTGTTTAAAGGTTTTAAACATATTTGACCCCTGTAACCTCGAATAAAAAGTCAGGGTCATTCAATTGAACAAACTTGATAGCCCTTTGTCCCAGCATGCTACTGGCCAAATATCATCACCCTGGGATTTCGGTTATTGAAAAGAATTTGTTTAAAGGTTTTAAACATATTTGACCATTGTGACCTTGAATATTAGCCAAGGTCATTCATTTGAACAAACTTGGTAGCCCTTCATACCAGCATGCTACGTGCCAAATATCATCACACTGGGCATTTTGGTTATTCAGAAAAAGTTGTTTAAAGTTTTTAACATATTTGATATTTGACGGACGCCACACCATGGCATAAAAATTAAGGGCATGTGTAGCAAGGGGTAGCAACTCAGTTTACACATGCAGGTATTACCATTAAAGAGCTACGCTCTTATTAGCTCAAAAGCTAAGTAATAACATATAGCAAATGATTTAGTAGAGCAAGTCCTATAAAATGAAGATAGACTTCAAAATATTTCACATACACTGTTCCAGAAACAAATATTGTAGCATGTTCGCTAAGTTCTGTCTTCAAGTCCATTGGAACACTTCTGAAATAATCTTTCCTTGTAACTACAAGACAGCTTAGTCCTCTTCTTGAAAGTTGTTTTATAATAGATAAACTCTGAAAGGAAAAAATATATATACATATTTTTTATCATATCATTATTATACAGTGAAACCCCACTTACTCGAATGAGCGCTTGGTCCCGACCCTGTTTTTACATAATCTTTGTTAATCGACCTCGGTTTACACTTATACACTCTGCCATCCCAAGATGTCTTTGTATATCTCATCTGGTTTCTCAAGGTCAAATAGCATAAAAGATATCTGGGCCTGTATTCATAAAATTGTTCTTATGCTCAAGCATGGGTTTTGTGCTCAAGCATAATTTCCTGTTCTGGTTATAGATTAATAGTAAAAAAAATATTTGATCATGATTCGAAAAATATTTGAAGCAGAATACTGTTTTCAATTTATACATTTTACTTTTTGATCAATTATCATGATTTAAGTGAGTAATAAGAAAGTTTTTTGAGGACATAATCCATGCTTGAGCATGAGAACATTTTCATGAATATAGGGCGAAGACGAAATTTAAGGGGCATAACTCTCATAATAATTTCTGGATTGAAATAGTAGTCGGAGGTGCATAACTTCAGAAAAGTTGTCCAGACAAAATTAAATCTACAGACAGACGAACAGGACAGACAACCTGATTCCAGTAAATCCCCCCTCCCCACCACACTCCATCCCCAACTTCATTGCAGGGTATAATAACATCAAATAATGAAAAGAACAAGTGAGCATTTATATCGTTTTTACCTGGGACCAAGGGGAACATAGATATTTAAACAAATAAGCCAATTTAAATTGCCCCCTAAGCACCTAGGAGGGTGAGCCCCTGTATGGGATAACTTTCGATCCCCATGTGCTATAAGTATGATAACACCACAGATAGGTTAAAGCTTTCAAGAATGTGGGAGGGGAAGTTGCCTTAAAGCAAATTGGATGGCATCTTACCCTAGCCCTAAGCCTCCAGGATAATAAGCCCCTGTGTTTGTATAAGTTTGGATTTTTAGTGTTATGCAAGCTACCATCACAATTTCTTTGAACCAGCCAAGTAGTTTGGATGGAAATGACGTCAAAACAAATCAGCTCATGAGACTTTGTTTTTTCAATCTAAGCTCCAGGAGTGTCTGCTATTTATAGGAATAAATCCTTAAAGGTCTACGGTGGAACTTCCCTAAATTGAACCTTCTCAAAAGCGATCCCCTCATGATACCAAATACTGAACCCATTTCTGTCCGGAGTCGTTAAAATGTTCTCCAAATTTTCTTTTAAAAACTAGCCTTACCCGAGCTACTGTTACATGAGGTCCGACCAGCTGGCAACCAAGTGATCAACACCTGTGATGGGCACTGGGGAGACAATAGCTACACTGAAAGGGTCGTTAGACATTATCAACACAACCAGTAGTAAAGTTGGTGTGGTTGTGTACTACCGGTATACTTATGAAATTATTCAACATAATTTTAATTTTGCCTTATTTTTGTTAGTATTATGACGAGCCCCACAACTAGCACAACGCGCAGGGACAGATCAAATGTAGGCAATTGCCGAGTAAGGTTGAGCATGATTTTATTCTCATCTGGTATCAAGCATATATACTTTAACTCATTCACCCCTGAACTTTCATAATGATCTATTCCAACCTTTCAATTGGAATAATTCAAATGTGTCTTCAGGGGTGAATGAGTTCAAATCTATCACAATCTTAGTTCATGTACTGTACGAAACACCACTAGAGCATCTATAACCTGATCTGGTCAATTATGTTCGTTTCTGCAAACCTTGTTAGAGACATGTAGCCTGGGAAAAGATGTCTTTTGAGCAAATATGACAATTTGACCCCATTTGACCTGTCTCTTTGCTCCAAAGTTGGACAACATGTCATTAAAAGCAAACCTGCTAGTTTCAATACGTTTTCAATCCCTACCCTCAGCTCCCAGAGGGGTCAGTTCCTTTATATGTACTTATATGTACAGAATTTGATCCCCATGGGTTCAGCATGCTTCCATTAAATTTTGGTTGAAATCTGCCCAGTTGTTTTAGGGAGATGTAATTTAAAGCATCAGCCAATCAACCACTTTTGACCACACCCATTTGACCCCAGAGGGGTCAGCCCCTATTTGCATAACTTTGATCCCCATGAGCTATAAGCATGCTAACATTACAATATGGTTGTAATATTAATCTGCCCATTAGAACCAGAAATCGTAATTAGGACTTGTAATAAACTGATTTCAATACCCAGTATATAAAGGTTGAAGACTACCCGAGAACTCATTAAGACATTTGTGTGTCTGATATAGAGATATGAGTCACATTGCTGTGATATCCTATCACTTCATTAGCATTCAATATTGTATATCTTTAATGTTATACAAACACTGAGGCAGAAAAGCCTGCATTCATAGCTTCTTCATTTTCTTTATGTTTCGGACATAAATAACACATCTTACCGCTTCTGTGTCTCTTTTACCGCCAAAAATACATGTATTAAGATGATCAATGACCACATCAAATGGACCCTTCTGTTGGATGAGATTTCTCAGTAGCGGCACATTTGAAGTTTTGCTCTTGAGATATACATTGACACCCTTCAAAGTGAAGTAAGCTTTTCTCAGCTCTTCAAACTCCTCAATGGTTAGCTCGTGTCTGTTCAAAGGCGAGTTGCAAACGACACAATTTGGTCGCCTAAAATATAAACAGATTTTCTCTAATTTATAACCCTAAAACCAAAATCAAAAGCGATGTATCAATTTGTTCTATATTTTTATTTTTAATGCAAATAACAAAGATGTATCATTAAATGGGACAGAGATACAACCGAGATATAGCTACTCTCATTATCAGCCACTGAATCTAACCGGCAGTCAACATTGGGTCAAAGACCCTCAAATACACACAAGTCCTGTCATGCCTAACAGAGTCAATTCAGCACTATATACATAATACACCTATCAAAATTTAGGGGGATCATATAATGCCTGTTACCTTTCAGAAAAATTCTTAAGGGTGTAAAATCAACAAATTAATTTTTATTCATAATGATAAAATTACTTACTACCTCCAATTATCATGCAAATCATCTTCAACTACAAGTTCTTTAACGTCTCCCAAACAAGTTTCAAATGCCTCGCACAAATACAAAACTACTCTATGTCCGAACCAGACATAGGGGTGTATAATGCATACACACCTCCAACTTCCTCTATAGATTTGAAAAAAAAGAACAAAGCACCCAAAACCAAACAAGAGGCCCAATGGGCCTGCATCGCTCACCTGGTATAAAACTCACACTTGTAACCTTATAAGTGATCTAAAATAAAGCTACAGGCAAAATATCAGTATTTATGATTAAAATTCTTCAAAAGTTTTTTTTTTTTTTAACATTTCACCCCTGTGATTGAAAGTCGAACAAAGTCATTATGTTGAACACATTGTATAGCCTTTCATCTCAGGATGCAACTTGCAAAGTATAAACATCCTGGGACCCATGGTTATTCAGAAGAGGTTGTTTAAAGATTTCAAGCAAATTTGACCCCTGTGACCTTGAAAATAGGTGAAGGTCATTAATTTTAACAAACTTTGTAGCCCTTTATCCAAGTTTGCTTCTGGCCAAATATCGACACCCTAGGCCTTTCGGTTATTAAGAAGAAGTCGTTTAAAGTAAAATATCGACGCCGGACGACAGACGCCGGACGCCGGACGAACGAACGGACGTGCCAGGTGAGCTAAAAACCTAAATGAGGCAGAGAAGACAGGGAGGAGGGTGGGACTCACATTTGAAATGGGAAGTAGTTTTATCATAAAAAAGGGTTTTACATTACATTTTTTTTTTTTTTTAATTAAACACAAGTACCGCAGGGCAGAACAAAATACGCCTGTCCAACGCCAATCTGACACACTTAAAATCCTTCTGGTGCATTATTGTATCTGAGTGTATGGAGCTATAGAAATGTTGTACTGTATTACTCATTAAAGTTGAGAACTATATTGGAATGTGGAGACAGGGAAACACATAGTGAACATGAGCATAACAGAAAGACAGACTCCATTTGTATATACCCCTCCTCTGATAAGATACTAATGATCAGTTAAGATGGATGAAAATGTGGTTGTGAGGAAGTGACTTCATTTATACCAGGTGTGTTTATGTCATTGATTGAAAGATTAATAAACAGTTATGTTGTATGTTGCTGTGATCTGACCTGGCAATTTAGAGGAGAATATGGATGTGAAAATGTTGCAAATGAAAAATAAAATAACATAATCAAGAACCAATAATGAAACACTAGGAAACAGAATAATTTGGCAAAAATGTGATAAATATTTTCTTTTTGATGTTTATTGTAACTAACATGATAAGTTAACAAGTGGTGCAAAGATTGACGTATGGAGAACGTGAATGTGATATTTGTTTGTGAATATTTGTACAGTATACATGAAAGGAGGGAATAAAATTATAAAAGAGGAAAAAAAGTCAGAGACTGGAGGAGGACCATTCCTTTCAAAGATGAACTAGCTAGCTAACACCCATAGAAGGGGGACCAACCTTCATGGCAACAGGATAGCCAACACCTGTGGTCTCTTAATATTGGAACCAGCCAAAGGCTTGGGACTTAGTGGGGCCTTGTCAACAAGGTACCCGCCGAAGGACTCTCCATGGGGTCGTCCCCCCATTGCAGAAGTGAGGGTGGTTTCTTGTTTGTCTTCTGTTTTGTATCATACAAGGTGACTAAAGTGGGTACCCTGCAGAATAGGGGGTTTTCTTCAGTGTATATACCAAGAGGACACGGAGGAGGCCACAACTGATCAGATGCCCCCATTGCAACATATGGGATCTTTTTTCATTTCCTGTCTCTTTCTTTTCTATCTATTTTCTGTTTCAGGTGTTGTCTCCCTAGGCACCCGTCCTCATATGACCCTGGCAGTTGTGTCTCCCTAGGTACCCGTCCTCATATGACCCTAGCTGTTGTGTCTCCCTAGGTACCCGTCCTCATATGACCCTGGCAGTTGCGAGAACATTAAACCCCAAACAAACAAATACAAAATCCATGGGGTCGCCCGTACAACCAAAGGAGGACCTGGCTTTGTCCTTCCTCTTGCCCTGCTTGCCAGACTTGGAATAATCCTTCATGGACAAGTAAATATAAACAAAAAACAAATGGAGACTAAAACACAATGTCATGGCATTGGTACCGACGCTTTACATAAAAATATATGGTGAAAAAAGGCAAAAGGTATACGTAGTTAAATGATTACAGGGATTACTGGTTAAACAAACAAAGAAAGAATTAACAAATGACACAAAGTTACCATCCTTAGAAACAGAACTGTATCATTTGCTTTCTCCGAATTGAAAAAAGAGGAAGTTTGAGGTGAATTGGCATCCTACACCCGTATGTCCAGATTGGACACAGAGTAGTTTGGTATTTTTGCAGGGCATTTAAAACCGTTCATTTTGGGAGTTAAAAGAACTGGTAGATGAAGATGATTTGCTCATTAAGTGGATTTTGTATTTATTGTTTTTCATATAAAATCAATATTTGCTAAGACTAACTAAATTGTAAGCCAAAGGCTAACTAATACCCCCACTCCCGTATAAACCAGAACTGTTAGCTAAAGGCTAGCGAAGGCAAAGTATTGCAAAGCAATCAATAGTCCCCCATCAGTAATGATTTCTTTATTTACAGAGCTGAGTAGTTTAGGAAAAGTTGTCAGGACACGGATTTTTCAACAAAGAGACATAACTTCATAAAAGGGTTGGGGGAAAAAAACCTGGATGGACAACAACAGGGGGTAGTTATCATATCTGAAAACTTCCCTTGAAATTATCCTAGTAGTTTTGGACGAGTTGTCCAGACAAGGATTTTTTAACATCTGGCCATAACTCTGTAAACACGAGATCCCAGAGGATCTCGGTGCCCACCGTTGTGTCATCTTCATTTGTTATATGTCAGTTCAATCTTTTCTCTTATTTTCTCTTATTTGTTGGATCGAGTCATGTATACAGTAAATGCACCTTGAGGTAACTTTTGATCTAAACTTCATACTGCTGTGTATAAAAAACAACCTTGAAAATGAGTTTGTTGTTTCACATATTTACTATTACAGTACTTAAAGTGAAAGAAATAGAACTGATACAATGCAATATTAGAAAGATATGTGAAGTTCTTCCTGCAGCAATTTTGTTTTCATGATCACTCTCGAAATATAACATGCACAACTTAGGACCAAGAGGAACCTACATATCAAATTTGAGAAAGATCCCTCTAGGACTTTCTGAAAATAATCAATAACAAACTTTAACTGTCAAAATGCAAGATGGCCACTGGTTGACCATTTTGTTTATTTCCTCAGTCTCAAAAGTAAACATGAACAACTACAGACCAAGGGGAACCTACATATCAAATTTAAGAAAGATCCCTCAAGCACTTCCTAAGAAATATCAATAACAATTTAACCTTCAGTCGAAATCCTATATGTGAACCATCTTGTTTATCCAATCAGTCTCAAAAGTAAACATGCATGGGACCAAGGGAAACCTTCTTATCCAATTTGAGAAAGATCCCACCAGGACTGTCCGAGAAATAGCAATAACAAGAATTGTCTAAGAACATACGACGGACTGACAACGGACCATGGACGAAGGGTGATTTGAATAGCCCACCATCAGACGATGATATATTAGACAAAGTTAGACTGCTTTGAATTCCAATTTACATTTTAAAACAAATATTCAATAAGCTGCACTAAATCTTCAATAAATTGAGAAGACTAACAGGTGATTCAGGTTGAACGAATCTAAAATCTGCACACTTATGCCATTTCTGCCTTTGGAACATGTAACTCTATAGCTCTATACCAACTCAACAATTTCAGGTTCATCTTAGCCATGCTAAATATGAGAGAATCAAACCCAACAATTACAAAACTAGAATATAATTTTTTGATAATCAGGGTTCGACACTAACACTAGTCTGCTAGTCCTGGACTGGTAGATTTAACAGAGGTCGACACTAACACTAGTCTGCTAGTCCTGGACTAGTAGATTTAACAGAGGTCGACACTAACACTAGTCTGCTAGTCCTGGACTGGTAGATTTAACAGAGGTCGACACTAACACTAGTCTGCTAGTCCTGGACTGGTAGATTTAACAGAGGTCGACACTAACACTAGTCTGCTAGTCCTGGACTGGTAGATTTAACAGAGGTCGACACTAACACTAGTCTGCTAGTCCTGGACTGGTAGATTTAACAGAGGTCGACACTAACACTAGTCTGCTAGTCCTGGACTGGTAGATTTAACAGAGGTCGACACTAACACTAGTCTGCTAGTCCTGGACTGGTAGATTTAACAGAGGTCGACACTAACACTAGTCTGCTAGTCCTGGACTGGTAGATTTAACAGAGGTCGACACTAACACTAGTCTGCTAGTCCTGGACTGGTAGATTTAACAGAGGTCGACACTAACACTAGTCTGCTAGTCCTGGACTGGTAGATTTAACAGAGGTCGACACTAACACTAGTCTGCTAGTCCTGGACTGGTAGATTTAACAGAGGTCGACACTAACACTAGTCTGCTAGTCCTGGACTGGTAGATTTAACAGAGGTCGACACTAACACTAGTCTGCTAGTCCTGGACTGGTAGATTTAACAGAGGTCGACACTAACACTAGTCTGCTAGTCCTGGACTAGTAGATTTCAGCAAGGACTAGTGTATCACCTATAACCTAACTGGTCCTTTGAACTTTGAAAATATGATTATAAAATAAGAATATTCCTTTTTAAAATTTAGAAAAACTGATTTTAATAAGATATATTGCATGATAATTGTCAAAAATTTACTAAAACTTCAACATATTTTTATGGCAGTAGTTATCTTAAGTCCCCTATATGCTACAGTCAATTACTTTTGATGTTTCATGTTGTAGATGGCAATGTTTACTTATCAGGAAATCTTGGACTAGTCACATTGACAAAGGATTAGTAAATAATCTTTTCAACTAGTCCTGTGGACTACCGAGCAAAAAAAGTTAGTGTCTAATCCTGAATAATGAGTCAAACTATCCTATTTTAGCCCCTAACATGGCCCTCTGGCCACATGAACAAATCTGGGTATTTTTACCTACTGATGATATGTGTATGTGAACTGGTTTATAGCAAATTTAGTCTGAGAAGAGATGCAAAAATATGACAGACAAATGACAGGCTTGCCAAAGGACATAACCTCACAGGCTATGTCATACAAACAAGAATTTATACTTACTGATAACTCCAAACAGTAACATCATCCTTGTCACTGAAAAAAAGGTAAAATATACTTAAATAGCCGAAATAAAGCTACAGGCTAACTTTCCTTACCTTTCCTTGGTTATTCAAAACGACCTGTTTTAACACATTTGACACAAGTGAAAGTCTAACAAGTTCATTCAGTTGAACAAACTTGGCAGCCCCTAATCCCAATATCATCACCCAGTGACTTTTGTCTTTTTAACAACCTTGGTAGCCAGTCATCCCAGCCTAGTTCTGGTCAAGTGTCATTACCCAGTGACTTTTGTCTTTTTAACAACCTTGGTAGTCATTCATCCCAGCCTAGTTCTGGTCAAGTATCATAACCTAGTTTGTAGGTCATCTCAAAGCGGTTCACAAATTATTATCTGTGGTTATAGGGCCTTTGCAACTAGCCAATATATGTTTATCAACTCCAAGGGGAGCATACAGCCGGTGCTGCCATTTTGCATTCATAGCTAGTATTCAACATTTTTAGCACTGCCCAACCAACTACATACTCATTTACAGCTGAGTAGAATGGAACAAGCGGAAAATGTATGAATCTGAAGAAAAAAGTAAAAACAAATAAATAACAAGTTCCTGTGTACGTGAATACCATCCTGAAAACTCCCTGGATGCTCATACCTCCCTGGACACTCATTAGGGTCGCCCCATTTTTTACAAGAGGTGTACTATAGGCATATAGTTACACATGATGACGTGTATAGCTAAAACAATACAGCAGATTCACACTAAATGATGATATTTCGATACCAGATCTTGATGAAGATACTTTATCATGAAACCTCTGAAGTGTGAAGCTTAAGCCGTATACTTAATTATAAACAGGTTGGGCAGTTGTAGTCTGCTAAAACTGACCATAAAAATTGCAGGTAGTTTCCTCTGGCCCTGACACCAGACTTAGAAAATGTGGCAGATAAATGTCTGGTGTTGGTCCAGAGCGCATTACTTCATAAAAACGTGGAATAGTCCATTTTTGTTGTCAGCACCTCGAAACTCTCCGAAACCCTCTTATGCTAAGCTAAAAGGCAACAATAATCATGTGTCCAAATTAAATTCTAACTAATTAAGTTAATAAATAGTTTGTATGGACAGTCTTCAGTTAGACAGGAAAACAACCAGTGCCAGCCACTCTGGACCCGCCACTATCTGTTCTGGAACATAAAAACAATTTACAGTTGTAGCAGAACTGGACTGGGTTGATCGTCAGTGACCAGGTAGCTCAATTGGTGTCCCTCTGAGTTCGGAGGTTCTGGGTTTGAATCCTGGTCTGGCCATTGCATTTCTCTTTCGCCTGTTACAAAATTGGCAAGATTGCCAACCCTTGTTTAAAGCACTGGGTGAAAGTCTGGCCAGGGGATACCCAAACCTGGGTCGTAAATATTGGTGTACATGGGGGCAACGACTTTGAAAAAAGAGGGAGGAATGTAGCAGAACTGGACTGGGTTAATCGTCGGAGACCAGGTAGCTCAAATGGTAGAGCGTCGATCTAGAGTTTGGAGGTCCCTGGTTCGAATCCATGTTTGGGGATTGCATTTCTCTTTCTCTTGTTATGCAGTTAAAGATTCCAGGTGTTCGACTGCAGGTGACACACCAGAGAGTTCCACTGCGTTTTTCATACAAGCAGTTACCTCCACTTAAGGTAAAGGGTACCAATGCATCCGTTATAATCGCGAAGATGATTTCCACTCAAGTGTTTTTTAACTTTGAGTACTCTCCCTTCTGTTAAGAAGATGAAGCAATCAAAAGGAGCTTCTTTCTGGCTTAGAGTAACTTCCCCTGTGACGATTTTAATGTGATTTGTGGCCCATAAACAGGACACTAATATTGGTGTTGTGCTTTCATAATTCCTGTAAATTGTGGGCTTTTGCTATATAAAGGTCTGAAATGTTCGACTCCTGCACTGTTCTAAAAAAAACTGAACTTTTTATTCTTTAACATTCAAATTTCAGACAACTACAGTTCTGTAAAATGCATGGCAACATGAGACTATTATGGAATATTTCATTCCAAAAGAGCTTTAAACAAATACAATGTAGTTCACAATAGTGAAAATGGTAATATAGTTTAACTTGTTGGTGCTCTTTACCTTAATTTTATTTCAGATATAAAACACTATAGAGCAACCGTACAGGGGTACCACAGTTGGTGGAGTAACTGATCACTAGCTCAGTTGGTTAATCTTATTAACTCATTCACCCCTGAAGACACATTTGAACTTCCAATTCAAAGGCTGGAAAAGTTCATTATGAAATTTCAGGGATGAATGAGTTAATATCAGTCGAATATTATCGACCATTCCAAATGAATATATTGTTTAAAGCACTCAGTGTATACGTACCTATATGTGTTTACAATATAACTTACTTGTACAGATCTGCTATATGAGCCAAATAGCCAGACCTGAAAATATAAAAATGTAAATTATTAGTCAATGGTCCTTTAGTCTACCTCCCGTGGTTTTCATTTTAGGGCATTTTCAGTGTCTGTGTTGAACATGTAGAGTTTAAACAGAATAAGAGGCTCTATGGGCCTGCATCACTCACTTGCTATTCAGCTGACACTTGTAACCTTAAATGTGGACAAAGGTCAAATACTTTTAAATGGACTAAATAAAGCTACAGGCTCAATATCACTACCAATCACACAAAAGAACCTATTACAAGATTGAAAATTTATGAAGGTTACTCATTTCAAAAACTTGAAAGCCTTTCATCCCAGCATACCGATGGCCAAATATCATCACCCAAGGACTTAAGAGTAATTCAGAAGAAGTAATTTTGTATCAGATTTAATAGTTTTTTTCTTCAAATATTCATTCTAGGTCAATTTTTTGTGTGGTTCAAATTTTGTCAGCATCATATTTCCTGGTTTTTCGAAAAACCCAAAAATAAACTTTTTTTTTCTTTAACATTAAGTATTGTGTTTGTCTTTTTATGCCCAGCATTTGTATACATAGTAATGGGGTAGGGATTTAAAATGCTTCAAAGATGTGACCCAGAAACTAAAACACTAGGGGTATGGCCTGACCCCAGAGTCAATTCTTACAATGTATATCATGACTGGCTTTTTACGCCCAGCAATGATATATATGGTTATGTAGTGGGGATCTCACCCATTTCAAAGATATGGTCCAGGAAATAATTATATATAAGTCCCTAAGGGTGGGGGCCTGACCACAAAGTCAATTCTAATATATCACGATTGTGTTCATCACGATATGCCCAGCAATTTTATATATGTTTTATGGGGTGTGGATCTCAACCATTATAAAGTAATGACTCAGAGAAAAATCTCTGCAGGTAAGGCAAAAGAACCACAGAGCCATCCTGAAAGCATATCAGAATTTGCTCTTTATACTCAGCAATTGTACATATGGTTATAGGTCACAAACTTAATAATTTCCAAGTTAAAACTCTTTTTCGCCCAACCACTCAGACCAGCTAGGGGTCAGCCCTTCAACTGGTACAATTTTGAATCCCCACCTCTTAAGAATGCTTCCAACCAATGTATGTTTGATATCCAACTCTTAGTTTCAAAGAAGGCTACTAAAGCAATATGACCCAAATGACCTGTTTGGTCCCACCCTTCAGCCCTCCAGGTGGGTCAGCCCCATCATTTGTACAATTTTGAATACCCACCACCACCTGAGAATCCTTCCAACCAAATATGGTTGATCCATCTCTTAGTTCTAGATATGTCTCTTAAAGACATATTGCCAAATTACCCTTTTTTGGCTCAACCCTACATTTGTACAATTTTGAATCCCAACCAATTAGGGATACTTCCAGTCAAATTTGATTAAATTCTAGTCAGCAGTTAAGAAGAAGTTGTTGGATGGATGGACGGATGCTACAGTATTATGGTACAGCATTATATAACCATGGTCCTTCGGACCAGTCACCAGGTGAAATTACAAGAGGCCCATGGGCCTTAACGGTCACTTGAGTCCTACAGTATTTATTTTTGTTGTTGAAATATGTACCAATTTGAGTAAAAAAAAGTTAAGGATGAATTGGTCTCTTGGCAGATGTGAACTACATCTATACGCAAATGGCCATATTGTAATTCTAATTAACCCGAAAAAAAACACACTATGTCAGGATCATAATTCGATCATTCCTACAAAGTTTCAGTTAAATCTGCTGATAAGAACTTGACGTTAAGTTTGAAATAGTTTTTCAAAAATGCGGCTGTGGCAGCCATATTGGATTTTTGATCGACCCGAAAAATAACATCACTTTGTCAGGACCATGAGTCGATCATTCCTACCAAGTTTCAGTTCAATCGGCCCAGTAGAACTTGACTTTAAGTTCGAAATAGTTTTTTCAAAATGGCGGCCGTGGCGGCCGTATTGGAATTTCCTGATTTCAGTAACATTCCCATTAAGTATCAATGAAATTCCTTCGTCAGTATTTCAGCTTAAGTTGAAAAATGTGAAATGTTAACGTATGACAGATGACGGACGAAGGACGAAGGACGAGGACGGACCGAAGACTGATAGCAATAGGTCACTTTAGCTAAAGCTCAGGTGACCAAAAAATAGGAACAGAAGTTGTATATATGTATTTTTCCCAAATTTGTAAGACTTCTCAAACCTAAAAAAACTGTCACACACCATGGTATAAGCTCGGACACTTGAATTGGTCTCTTGGCAGATGTGAACTACAGCCATGCGCAAACAAATGAAAATGTGGAAACAAAACAAGAAAGGAAAAACATACAAACCTTTCCAGTTGGGTAATAACTGATGGAATTGACATTTCTTTGAAACAACACTTGTACTTTCTCATTAAATAGAACAAGTTTTCAAATGTGAAATGTTCCACACCTCTGTCCACTGATGACAAGTATGACTGAACCGCCTTTTCAGTAAAAAGTATTGGCAAATTTTGAGCTACGGAGCTAATCCCAGTTGAATTTATGACATTATCCATCTTAACTAAAAGGTCACAGAATGTATGAATATCTCCTTCTCGGGCTGCTGCTGCCAGGACGTTGATCAAACTTATATGAGATTCTGGATTTATGATCAGACCCAAATCCAACAGCCTGAAGCACTTCCTCCACTTACTGGTGCTGGAGAGAGCAGAGATTACTGCTTTTAAAGTTTCTAGATCAAAAGCTCCATCCGACATTTCACACATGCGGTCATATGTGGACAACACAAGATTTTCTAATCCATGATTTCCATAGATTTTTATCAGAATGGAAAGTTCTGGGATACCAAACTGTGTGCTGGCCAGATCCTGCACCATTGTTTCTATAGACTCCTGGGTTTGGTTTGTTCTATCAGCCACACTCAATGTAAAATATGGAAAAAATTCTTCATGATATAGTCCTTTTTCCTTCAAAGAAGATCTCAGAAAAGGAACATCAATGGGCTGACCTTCAGTACAGAGTTTTTCTACAAGTTTGAGCATATGTTCTGGTGCCTTTAAGTTGTAGATAGTACCTTGTAAGGCTGATTTCTTTGCATGAGATAGAGTCCTGTTAAACTGTAGATTGTATGTAGGGCTGGTCCAAACTGAAGGGTTTACTACTCCTGTGATCCACACAGGGGTTTTGAAGCAGCCAAACCTGTATGTACAAAGCTGAATGAGTGTCTGTCTGTACATACTAATCTTTAAAAACATGTTTAAGCCATAAATATTGTCTAGTTTGTTCACTTCATCTTTTTATTCTAATTTTGTCTCTACATTTCTGATGTTTCTTTGCATGATGATGGCAGGCTTTATGAAAGTTAACAGCATCTCATCATGTCGATTTCTTTAAATTAAATCAAGCATTAAATCTGTATCCTGAAACAAAAAGAAAAAAAGAGATACTTTTTCATTTTAAATAAAATGTATCAATGACAAGAGGCCCATGGGCCTAAACGGACATCTGACTACATAGACTGAGCAGGGAGAATGGTAACTTTTCAACTTTCAATGAAATATTCTAAGAATTTGTTTTCCATGATGGTAGTTTTTGTCAGCAGTGGGTATCTATTTGTCAGTAAAGCTATCAGAAAGCAGTTAAACCTAAATCTGAATAGATTTCTCCTTTTAAGGCCCCATCCCGCTGTCAACGATGGTTAAACCTGCCTCATTTATATAAGAAATGATTTCTAAATGATGTTTCATGTACTGAAATTGTTGTAATCTACTTTGACAAATTGGTTATTTATAATACAATACATGTCCTCTACTGTGACACATTGTTTATTTATGATACAATACATGTCCTCTACTGTGACACATTGTTTATTTATAATACAATACACATCCTCTACTGTGACACATTGTTTAGTCATGATACAATACACATACTCTACTGTGACTCATTGTTTATTTATGATACAATACACGTCCTCTGCTGTGACACATTGTTTATTTATGATACAATACATGTCCTATACTGTGACACATTGTTTATTTATGATACGATACACGTCCTCTACTGTGACACATTGTTTATTTATGATGCGATACATGTCCTCTACTGTGACACATTGTTTATTTATGATGCGATACATGTCCTCTACTGTGACACATTGTTTATTTATGACACAATACACGTCCTCTACTGTGACACATTGTTTATTTATGATAAAATACATGTCCTCTACTGTGTCACATTGTTTATCTATGATACAATACCCATCCTCTACTGTGACACATTGTTTATTTATGATACAATACGCATCCTCTACTGTGACACATTGTTTATTTATGATACAATACGCATCCTCTACTGTGACACATTGTTTATTTATGATACAATACATGTCCTATACTGTGACACATTGTTTATTTATGATACGATACACGTCCTCTACTGTGACACATTGTTTAGTCATGATACAGTACACATCCTCTACTGTGACACATTGTTTATTTATTATACAATACATGTCCTCTACTGTGACACATTGTTTATTTATGATGCAATACATGTCCTCTACTGTGTCATATTGTTTATTTATGATACAATTCACTTCCTCTACTGTGTCACATTGTTTATTTATGATACAATACATGTCCTATACTGTGACACATTGTTTATTTATGATACGATACACATCCTCAACTGCGTCACATTGTTTATTTATGATACAATACACTTCCTCTACTGTGACTCATTGTTTATTTATGATACGATACACGTCCTCTACTGTGACACATTGTTTAGTCATGCTACAATACACGTCCTCTACTGTGACACATTGTTTATTTATGATTCAATACATGTCCTCTACTGTGACACATTGTTTATTTATCATACAATACACGTCCTCTACTGTGACACATTGTTTATTTATGATGCAATACATGTCCTCTACTGTGTCATATTGTTTATTTATGATACAATTCACGTCCTCTACTGTGTCACATTGTTTATTTATGATACAATACATGTCCTATACTGTGACACATTGTTTATTTATGATGCAATACATGTCCTCTACTGTGACACATTGTTTATTTATGATGCAATACACGTCCTCTACTGTGACACATTGTTTATTTATGATGCGATACATGTCCTCTACTGTGACACATTGTTTATTTATAATACAATACACATCCTCTACTGTGACACATTGTTTAGTCATGATACAATACACGTCCTCTACTGTGACACATTGTTTATTTATGATACAATACATGTCCTATACTGTGACACATTGTTTATTTATGATGCAATACATGTCCTCTACTGTGACACATTGTTTATTTATGATACATGACCTCTACTGTGTCACATTGTTTATTTATGATACAATACACATCCTTTACTGTGACAAATTGTTTATTTATGATACAATACATGTCCTCTGCTGTGACTAATTGTTTATTTATGATACAATACATGTCCTCTACTGTGACAAATTGGTTATTTATAATACAATACATGTCCTCTACTGTGACACATTGTTTATTTATGATGCAATACATGTCCTCTACTGTGTCATATTGTTTATTTATGATACAATTCACGTCCTCTACTGTGTCACATTGTTTATTTATGATACAATTCACGTCCTCTACTGTGACATTGTTTATTTATGATACAATACATGTCCTCTACTGTGACACATTGTTTATTTATGATACAATACACGTCCTCTACTATAATTATTCTCTTTATTTCCTTCTTTAAGAAGATTTTACAAACAGAATAATGTAGTTACAATGATGAATAAGGTAATAAAAGCAAAATCAAAAAGGCATAATTAGTGCACAACATAAAAAAAGTTAACACCATAGGAATAGGTTAATCAATTTGAGAAAGTTTACAAAAGAGTACATAATTAGCATTGCTAAGAATGAAAGTAGTTTGCTTTCTTTTGAACATGACTGTGTTTCTCATTTAATGATATACACAAGAGTATTGAATAATCATTCGAAGTATGCCTTAAGCATTTTTGAAATATAATTGACTGATGCCAGACGAAATTCTGTTAACTCTGATGTAATCAGTTCATATGTTAATTTGCCACCAATCAGTAGGTGAATTATGTTAATTTGCCACCAATTGGTAGGTGAAATAATTCAAAGTCCGAATGAGAGTGTAAATTAACACTAAACATAAATTCATATGTATAATGACTTGACACCATAATTGATCCTGTCTTCTGTAAAATCCACGGAATTAGATTAGATTGTTATCTAAGACCGTGGTAAAATCACAATGTTTCCAAATTTCACGATTTCCACAATATGTCATGAGGAGCCAAATTATCATGAACCGATATAAATCTGCAGAAATTGCGGTCCCCAATCATTCTCTCCTAACATGCTTTTTCTTCATATAACTGTACATTATGCTTTATTTTCGCTTTCCATGTACTTTTCACTGGAAATAATCCATTTGATAAACATTCATGTACTAATTTGTATAAATCATATTTCTTTAGAACTCTAAAATACTTCATTCATAAAACCAATATTATACATGTTGGTCCCTATAACCGCCATATTTCAAAAGACAAGTAAAAAACACAATTTTTCTCCATGTTTGACTTTCATAATCTTCCAAACATATCTGTACGAGTTCTTGAATTGAACCCTTAAACATTACCGAAATATTCCGTACCATGATACATTGTCTAATCATGATAAATGTTCCCCTATTGTGACACACTGTCTAGTCAGGATACAAGAAACATTCCATACTGATGTTCCCCTATTGTGACACACTGTCTAGTCAGGATACAAGAAACATTCCATACTGATAAAGTGTACACGATATTCACAATCAACTCTAATTTCTAGTTTCATCTAGATTCAACTGACACGAGTGTTACATGTAAATCGCAATTGATTACCAAGTATCTGTGGATATACCATCCTTGGGGGTGTCCATAATAACCGAGAGTCGATCTTAATTCCTAAAACGTCCAATATTAGTCAGGTCCAGTACACTCTGCCGATTGAGCTATATAGCTCAATCGGCAGAGTGTACTGGACCTGTTAGTCTGAACACACTAGTTTAGGTAAAAACGTAGCCGCTGAAATAAATTCTCGGGTCCCTGTGCAAACTAACCAGACTAATTAATTCTTGTGTGAACTCTATCTAACAGTCTAAATATATCGTTATAAATACCTAGATTGAGTTCCAAAGGGAAGTAGGCCTATGTGCACGCCAATCGGTTTATAGCGGAAGATCTGTATAAGTGGGTGTCACAGCAGCCGAAAAGAATAGAGCGTGCAGTTACAGTTTCTGTAGCACTGTACCCACACGTGTTTTCGGTGTAAAGCGTTTAAATGACCCTTTATGGTTAAGCTAACTGCTCGGCGGTCAGACTTATAAGCGTCTTCAACCGACAACAGTATACCGAATAAAGTAACGGCTACATCAGAAGATATGTTGTTCATATGGCTATAATACACCTTAATACTAAATTTCAATTTGATATTTGAAAAATTGAACGAGATATGAGGAATTTCATTTTAACAATCGGCGATTTGGCAAATGTGTGTATCGACATGTAAGTTACAGCGTCCCCAGACAAAGTCTTTGAAAATACTCTCTAAAGTAAGCGATATCAAAGGTGTATAATTCATTTGATTCCATGCATCTATATTCCAAATTTCAGGTCGCCATTTTAAAAAATGTCCGAGTAAAGATGAATTTATTTTGTGTGTATAGAACTCGGTTACAGATCAAAAAGCGTCTTCAGACTATATCTAAACAAAAGTTTTGTTAAAGTTAACAAGACTAATTCTAACATTGAAGATGTAAACTGTGGGGTACCCCATTGTAGTATACTAGGCCCACTTTTATTTTTAACATATGTCAATGACATGCAGATAGTATCGACTCAGAGTGCAAACTCATATCGTATGCAGATGATACTGCAATTATTTTTTTCACACGTTGATCCAAAAATAATATCAAATAAATTATATAAAACAACGGAATCCTGTCACGATTGACTTGAAGATAATAAACTTTCATTTCAACTTGGGAAAACAGCTAGAAGTGTCCTACTTGGTCCCAAAAGAAAATTGAATATGGTTGCTTCTGCTTGGTTTAATATTAATAGTAATACACATACCATTGAATCCGAACCACAAGTAAAATATATGGGTGAAATCTTCAACCATTTTTCTTTCAAAACATTTTCTTCAGGTTGGTAAGTATGGATTGTGAAAAGACTCATGTAGCACAACCAATAAGTGTTTATATGTGACGTTTCGATGAAAAGTACAGCATGTACTCTGTCACCTTCATCATACACATGACAAGTGAAGCGTATGTGCACAAAGGTGTAAACTATGAACGAGTTGTCAACGCAATTCGCTGTAAGCTTAGTTGATATATATGTACCGAAATTATTCGATTCGACTACGCTTTGTTTAGTGCTTGGTCATAGATATGCGAGAGTAAATGAGCCCCCTCATCTCGACGTAGAGAACTGGTATCGAGTGACACTGTAGGGAATAAGAACAAACACAAGAAGCGTATAGGTGAAAGAGCGTTCGACACAACCTAACAACGCCACTTATAACTAAACCATCTTGTAAACCAACGCAGATGCAGCTCTAAATGATTCTATGCTAAATAAATTTGTAGTCAACATCTCTACTAAGGAGCTCACCAATAGCGAGAAAACGTTACTCGCTAAGGGAATGAACTATATATGCCATCGTTCCAGATAAATCCCAATTGATGATTTTGTTATAGCCACAGAACAAGCATGTACGAATTTGAAATATGCTGAGGCTGACCAACTGAGATCCCAGGTGACGGGGATTTGAAATCCACGACATCACCGACAGGTAATATGACGAAAGAAGTACGGGTCGCACTCCAAAAATTAGACAGAGACAATTCCGTTACGATATTACAGCTGACCAGGGAAAGGCAACAGTCGTCATGGACACCGACGATTATGAGGCCAAGGTCATGACAATGCCACATGACAACAAAACATAGGAACAGCTGCAGACCGATCAAACTCAAAAGTTTAAAAGGCGTATCATAGCCATATCTGTATTCAACGGCAGAGAACACCTCTAGAATGTACTATACACCCGAGATCCACAAACAGGGGAACCCGCTGAGGCCTATTGTGAACTACACTGGGTCCATTGGTTACAATGTTTCCATGTCATTAGCAGACATTCTTCGACCGCAATTGGGTAAATCGGAACACCATGTCAAGAACTCAAAACATCTAGCTGAAGATATGTCTACCATCATGATTCAGGAAGACAAATATTTAATTTCACATGATGTTGTCTCTCTCTTAGCCAACACACCCATTGACGATGCACTTAGAATAATTCGGAAACGCGTAGGACTAGACAGATCCTGGCGTAAGAACACCAACCTCCAGAGTCAGGACATCGTGGACTGACTAGAACTTGTGCTGACAACAACATATGTTAGTTTCCGAGTATCAGCAATTCTTCGGCACTGCTATGGGTAGTCCAGTGTCTCCCATTGTGGCAAATTTGTTCATGGAACATCTGGAGCAAAAAGCAATAGCTACTGCCCCCATAGAATGCAAGCCAAGCTTATGGAAACTATGTTAACGACATACTTGAGATACTCAAGAAGGGGTCACAGAATGATTTGACCACCCGTATCAACACCATAGATGTCACTAACAACATCAAAATTACATGTGAGGAAGAAACCAACGGCACAATGACCTTCCTAAACACTCTACTGGTAAAGAAAGAAGACGAAACCGTGAAGGTATTGGTCTATAGAAAAAAAGACCTATACGGACCAATACCTGAACTTCAAATCTCACCATCTTTTGCACCAGAAGTTAGGCGTCGTACACACATTGCTCAACAGATGTGATACAAGTGTCACAGAACAACAGGACAAAACACAGGAGCAGAATCACAACGCTGGGGCAATAAAAACCTGTGCATATGCGGAATGGGCTCTCAAACTGGCCTCAAAACAGTGTCAAAGGAAGGGTGGAACAGAAAAAAACTCCATCAAGGATAAGAACAAAACCACCCAGAGGATGTTTCGCGGTCATGACATAGAAACAATCATGAAGCCCCACAATACGCTTCGTAATATGAATGACCGAATCGACATTGATTTGCGTGGGCAACTCGTACGTATTTTACACCTTTTTGTACATACGCTTCACTGGTCATTTATCTGATGAAGTTGGCAGAGTGCATACCGTACTATTCATCGAAACGTCACATATAACACTAATTGGTTCCTACATGAATCTTTTTTACAATCTTAGTCCAGTTTCTTTAAGAACAATATGTTGTGAACAATACTTTCGAAAATTAATCAAAGACCAACATTTTTATACCGAAACAAAAAACTCTTACCTCTGCCATCAAGAAAAATACTCTGCTCGGCACTTTCTCATCCTGGTTCGAGGGTATCTCCAAAAATCTCAAACACAAACTCTAAGTTTCACAAAACAGGGTTGTTCGTTTTATTTTAGATTTTGATTGGAGGACAAGAATAACTTTTATAGAACAGGAAAAATTAAGTATGCTGAATGTAAGTAATAGAGTGGCTCAATTGAGACTAATCCATGTTTAAAGATTTTTTCATGAAAAAATGTCCAACTTACATGAAGGAAGGCTTTGAAATGAACAACAAGAGGTGTACAATATCAAGCCAGTTTAACTTTTATATGCATAATGTAAGTGGGGTAGAACCCACATCTTTCTCTTACAATACAATAAAAGATTGGAATTAATTACCAGAAAAATAAGGCTACCAACAACTTACACAGGTTCAAAATTCTAGTAAAACAAAATTTAACATCAAATTTTAGATCTGAACAAAATTATGAGTTTGTAACAGGGTAATAGTGAGACTTCAGTGATATCCTCTATAGTTTCTTACTTAAAATGTTATTATAATTGCTTTTATTGAAAGATACTATACTGTTACTTTATATGCAGTCTGAAAGTTTAATCGGTTGGGACTGGCCAAACCACCAGCCCTATTCTGCAAGTGGCAGTTAATTCAAATATACATGTTAAAAATTATCTATCAAATTATTCAAATGCGATATACTTCTGACTACAGATCCTATCATTATTCCAAAAGTTATTTTTATTTATGTAAGCTATACACACACGTGCAGCCTGAGAGTTTGGTCGGTAGGGACTGCCCCAACCACCAACCCTCTTATGCAAAAAGTTAACAAATTTTAATAAAAAAATTATGTACTTACAGTTATCATTTGTATATAAGATTTTAACTAATTCAAGCGTGATATATTGGTTACTATAAGTCTTATTCATATTTCATTTTTTTTATTAATATAAGTTATATACCGGTACGAGCCTATCACTGTATAATGTAATATACAGTCTGAGAGTTTGGTCGGTAGGGATTGGCCCAACCACCAGCTCTTTCGCAAATAGAATTTTATGTTAATACTATTTAATTGATAAAATACCGGTAAAAGATTAATTTCATCATATTTTAGATCACTCAATTATTACCAGCATTATTCTGTTGATTTTAGTTTATGGCACAAGTATGTGAAATTGTATAGGTCTCATGATATATCTGCTATATGGCATAAAGAGCACAACCATAAAGGATGGAGAAGCTGGAACACCGCAAAAACAGCAGCACCCTTGTTCTTGACAGATTGGGTTGGAAAAAAGCGCGGGAGGCCTTATGCCGCGGAGAGACTTAGGTTAAGGTAAGAATGGCATGAAGGAGAGCTTGTTAGGTAGGGGATGCCCGATCACCTGCACTCCAGAATGCCATGGTATAAAGTAAGAGGCAATATAGGTGTTTTTTGTTTGAACATTTAATATGTTTTTTTTACCAATGACTGTGCCTTTAAATCTTATCAAATTATCAATATCTTTTATATATTTATGTAACTATTTTGTGAACAGAGTTGATGTATTTAGATCTAAGGGGCCACATTGGAATTAAGCCACAAACACAGTCGAGATTCCCAAGAGTGAACACCACCAGGTTTGGCTTGAAGTTTTCCCGCTGTGAGGCAGCCATGGTGTGAAACACGGTCTACCTAATGAGCTCAGGGCCGTTTTTCGTTTATCGCGGCCCAAACGGTTGAACCGGTTGGACCTTATGAAATAAGGTCAGTCCTAGTAAGCTGATGCTGCTTTCAGGTGAGCCTTGACAAAGCCTTGCAAGGCCTGCCTAAACGAACAGGCCCAGGACAGCTAGTTCTTTTCCGGTTTTTTCCTGACTGCTCGGCACGCTGGGTGACTCACTCTGCAACTGCTCCCTGTGTTCACACTGGTTTGAGTTCATTCGTTGTTTATATAAATATGTCTCATACTGTATGTTGAGATATAATTTGCTATTGTGCTTTTAATTGCTTGTTATTAAGCTTGCTACTGGCAGTACTTTGTTAGTTATATGACCTGTTTCATCTTCATCTGGGAACCTAAACTTCCTCCGTCAATATTGACGATTACGGAATTTTTGTTTAACTTTACTCGATACATATATATACACGTCCGTATTTAGCATTATTTAACTTTTTTCTGTTAAAAGCTTTATGACGTCATAAAGCATGCAACGTCAGATTTCCCGGCCAATTTTCCAACATTTTATGTGTTCCTTGGGCCGAACTTTCCCCAGTATCATTAATTGACTCACCCTGTCCCAAACTGACATTTCAATAATTTCGTTTATCACAGCAATACGAAAGTCAATGCTAGACTTTTATCTATATCATCGTGTGAAGCTGACCGTAGTATGTTACACGTGCAATTGTATGACGTAAATAAGTTTGCAAAACTATCAAAAAGAATTAAAGTGAGATCATGGAGATTCTGGAAGATTGGGCAACTGCCATGGATGAGGGGGCCAATACAGATGTCATCTACCTAGACTTCTGTAAAGCCTTCGATAAGGTCTCGCACAGGCTGCTTCTACACAAACTAGAAGCATATGGCATTACAGGTTAAGTCAGCAACTGGATACGGAAATACCTGACAAATCTGAAACAAAGAGTTGTTATCAATGGAACATTATCGAGAGTACAGAATGTGACAAGCGGGGTCCCCCAGGGAAGTGTTACCGGGCCGATTTTGTTTCTCATTTATGTCAATTAATGAAGCTATTTGCAGATGATACAAAAATATACTCAAGTATATTTACACCACAGAGCTACAAATTAACATCAACAAAGTGTGTGAATGGACTGAGAGGTGGCTCATGAAATTAAATTTAGAGAAATGCAAACACTTGGAAATTGGTAATACATCCAGCAATAGCCAGTACAATTTCACAAACGAAGGAGTCACAACCATGATTGTAAAAACAGACAAGGAGAGAGACCTCGGAATGACATTCGACAAACAACTCAAATTTAGTGAACATGTGTCTGCAGCCGTCTTCAAAGGAAACAGAATGTTATGAATTATTTTTAGAACATTTACATTTCTAAATCAATCAACATTCCTATTACTATATAAATCACTTGTCATACCTCATATTGAGTACTGCTCCACAATACGGTCACCCCTCCTAAAGAAAGACATACATTCACTGGAAAAAATACAACGACGGGCAACTAAAACGTTAATTACACTGCAAGACCTTCTTTACCCAGATCGACTAAAACGACTAGGACTGCCCACACTTGAATATAGAGGTACAAAATTCTGAGTGGTGTGGACGATGCAGACAAGTCTAAATTATCTACTGAATCCACCTATCCGGCAACAAGAGGTCACCAGCTAAAGCTATTTAAGAAACAATGCCGCTCAAACACCACCAAAAACATTTTCAGCAATCGAATAGTTACAAACTGGAACAATATATCAGCTGAAGTGGTTTATGCCGAAAGTTTGAATATTTTTAAAAATAGGTTAAACGTGCACTGGAAAGAGCATGCACACAAATTTTATCCTTCCTTTTAATCTACGATGTGTTAATAGTAATTAATACTATTGCGACAATTAGACTTCACTAGACGTCTAGATATTTTTAATGTCATACAATGTATACCATTCTTCGCACACTCCATCATCAACCAATCAATTAGCGAAATGCAGATAAATAACATCATTACAAGCCATAGGCTTTCCATTGATGTCTTACCTATGAGATGCCTATGAGATGATTTTCTTTCCATCCTCCAAAGAGTAACTCTCTCTCTTTTATTAAGTTTACAAGATAGCTACTCCAGCTAACTAAACTGCTTATATCCTCAAAGTTGTAAACATTTGCTGAATAACAAAAAAATACTTATGATTAGAACGACTTTCATAAATAAAAATGGGCCCAACTTACCCCGGTCTCCCCATCTGTATTGTTTGAGTTCATCAGAGACTTGAATACTTCATGGATTTATATGTCTGAGAGTTTCTGTTTCTGTTTCTGCCATATAATTGCCTCCTTCACCATGATGAAGATCATGCAATATGTATAACTAAGGCGCGGCAACAAAAAAAGTTCATTGAACTCTTGGCTTTTATTTGAATAAAGGAAATATACTATTTTCGCTAAATTGTGCAAGCATATATTTTACAATTTTAAATCAATGGGATGTAAAGGAAATGCTTATTTTACCAGTGACCCAAACTTGAGTTTGCTAACCTGTAAAATCTACCATTATGGTTGTTGTCCCATTACACGCATTTCTACGAAAGCATTTAGTAGCACCAGCGAGATCGGGCCTGACGAGATCAGCCAAACGCTTGTTGTTTATAATATGGCGTTGGCTCATCAACATAAGTATCGATTGCACAGGGAAACCAATATTGTGTTGGTCTTATCATTATGAATTCATAGTGGCCACTCATCTTTAGTCCCTACGATTTACTGGTAGTACCAAGAATGTGGACGAGGGGAAGATGAGATTCAATAGTCCTAATATGCACAATAATGTCTCATTATATGAGAGCAGAGAAGAAACAATTCTTCAGGAACGCCCAAGATTATATTATCAGGCCGTTGATGCGACAAAGGGAGACGGGACAGCTATGCGACGTCGTTCTCCTGATAAATGGAAGACTATACCATGCACACCGTGCTATATTAGCGCTATGGAGCCCTTATTTTCTGTCCATGTTTACATGTGAAATGAGAGAGAAATCGTCTAGCGAAATAGATCTATCCGAATCACTCTTGTTGGAAGACGACGCCGTATTTAGCAGTGTGCTAGACTATATGTACACGGGGTCACTGACGGTCAGTATTTCAAACGTTGATGATATACTCAGAGTGTCAGACTTTTTACTGTTAGATGACGTCAAAGACTACTGTCAACAATTTTACCTTGACCTTGGTAACTTGGATCTCAGTAATTGTTTGCGAGTGAAATTTTTAACTGAAAATCATAATTTGCTTGAAGTAAGTGAAGCGTGTCAAAAGATAATTGAATCTCGTTTCCATGACTACCTCATACACAATGATGAAATTCTGGACATGCCTCCCCCATACTTTTTCCAGTTGCTGGAGGATCCAAGAACAGTCCACCAGACAAGTTACAATGAGTTGAAAAGACTGATCACACGATGGGTTGACTACTGTAAGGAAAGCAGAGAGATGTACAAGAGTGATCTGTGTGCCTGTATCAAATTATGGGTGTACGACACAGGGGACAGTGCTACAACCATCTTGGGGCAAGGTATAAAGCAGCGGGACCTGTCCATCTTCATGCAGTCATCTCTCTCAGATGCAATCAGGAGAGATGCTGAAGGACACATGTCATGCATGTTGAAAGAAAATGTCCTTCATGAGTCAATTAGCGTGAATGATACAATTTGTCCAGTTTTGTATACAGTGATTTGCAATCAAGGTATGAAATTCCTCAGAATTTTAGTCTACAGCATATACAGTCAAAAATGGTTTCAGTTTCCAATTAGCAGTGAAAAGTTGTCTCAGATGATACCATCAAGGCAAACAGTTTGTAGCCTGGTAGCCCACAGAAACTGTCTTTACATGTACCTTTGTCCAAGCTTCCCTTACCCTTCTGACATGTTGAAAATCAACATCTTGGTTGTTGACCTCCTGAAAGGGCAACCAGCTGTGTATTCATTCCGCACAGCCGACTACTACAACCCAACATACCGAACAACACTGACCAACTACCGCTCAGTGCCACCAGCTGTGGCAGTGTGTGGCCACAATCTCTATGTTATTGGTAACAAGGAAGGGGCAGGCAACTTGTTCCAGTGCAGCCTAACCAATCATCAATATAAGTGTCATCAAATCCCTGGTGCCCGTTTCATCAGTTTAGCAAGAGCAGCTGTCCGAAATGACAGATTCATCTTTCTGTGGTTCCGTCATCGCACTGGGCCTTCAGAGGAATTCTGCATCAAGAAATCAGTTGGTTTTGTAATGTTCGATACAAAATCAAAAGTATTTAATTCCTGGGAAATCTGTCCACCAGAGATTTCTTATGATGATTTTGTGAAGCCGTACATGTTGTGTGTGAGAGATGACACAGTTCTCATCTATCATCCTGGGAAACCAGCGCTAGTCTTAGATGAAGTCAGATGTAAATGGGTTACCTCCCTTCGCAAGGTCCCTTCACCTGGATCACTGACAGATAACCTAACTGATATGTACGGATATCAAATACAGGCAGCTACAGAAAACAGCATCTTCATACTCAACAACCCAGCACCGTACACAACTTCACTGCACGAAATCAGTGAGATGTATCCTCAAACCATTGTCCACAGACCGCCCCCGATAGACAACATCTCCCTGGTGACGTTTGGCTACCTGACCAAGTCTGACCTTATGGAGCTGGATACTGTGGAATACTATGACGATGCCTATGCAAACGCTTTGCAGGTCACCATGCGATTCTCCGATCCCGACACGGATGACAGTGGTACAACTCATTCTGGGCATGATACAGACAATGACTTTGAATACGATGATGATATATATGATTACGACTATGATCTCGATGGAGAGTTTGGCTTTTCACTGTAATTAGATGGTTTTCCACCGATTTTAATTGTAAAGCTATTTAGCTGTTATTGGATGATTTACCTTGATTTAATTTACCAGTGCAAATCATGTAGTACATTTAAAATGAAAGAGAGGTAGATCATTTCATTGTCTTACTGCAGTCACAATACAGAGCTACTACCATAACAAGGTATGACTCCAACCTCCATTACCATTATTAATGTCCAGTGGATTATGATGTTGAAACGAAAAGAAAAATAATAATAGTGTCGATGGTGGAATCAAAAGTAATTAATTTCTATCACTAGTGATGTGCATATATTTCACCAAACAAAGTCATATTCCATAACGGGTAAAGTAGTACCACAGTATATATATATGCTAAATAGGGTCATTATTGCTAGTCCTAAGTCTAAATGCATTAAAGGGTGCCTATTACCATTAAAGGGTGCCTATTACCATTAAAGGGTGCCTATTACCATTAAAGGGTGCCTATTACCATTAAAGGGTGCCTATTACCATTAAAGAGTATCCTTATTGTTGTGAAATTGTGTAATTACGAAATGGTGTGTGATGTTACTTAATGTACAGGTTCTGTGATAAGTTGTATCTAATGCAAGTTATAAAAAATAGTTCATTTATAAGTTGTTTAAAGAAATAAATATAACAAGATACTAAGTGTCTTTTTAAAAATGAAAAAAAATAATGATAGATAAATAAACATGACAGCAAGTTTACTAAGGGACCTTTTTCAGCTATGATTAATGTTCATAATGTATCACTGAAATACCATACATCATGTTTGTTTCTCTGAAACAGATGATTCCTGTTTAAATTTCCATGAAGGGAAAGAATGACCATGAACCAGTATGTCACAATGGAAGACGTTAGTGCAAAACAGTGTTACATGACATCAGATGATTAAAGATGGGCCAAAAAAGAATCACATCTACATGTAGGTTTGTTAACTACTTATCTGTAGTTTAACATCAAATGTTTACAAACAGATCGACTAGATTACTCAAAACAATGTTCTATAGAACGTTACATTGCTTAATTAGTGTCTAACATGCATATTACGCAACATGTTTTTACACATTTCATAATAATATTTTATTTTGCGTCACATGTTTGAGTATTTGTTGTTTACATCTCACCTGTGTACATCAAACATCAGATTGGGAAAAACGGTTCTCAAGGTATAATTATGCATACAGAGTGGCACTAAATATAAAGACATACAGGATTAACTGTTTAAAGACAAATTGCTATTGATGGAGTAAATTAATTTGTACTAATATACATGTAGATAAAAGATTGTTATATACATTGTCATTGTAAACTGGTTTCACGTTATATGTATCTAACCATGTTTTTTCCTGCTTCACGTGATGTATAAAGGTTATAAACAGTGGGTAAGTCTGTGGCAGTGTTGGTAGTGGGTAAGTCTGTGGCAGTGTTCGTAGTGGGCAAGTCTGTGGTAGTGTTGGTAGTGGGTAAGTCTGTGGCAGTGTTGGTAGTTGGTAAGTCTGTGGCAGTGTTGGTAGTTGGTAAGTCTGGCAGTGTTGATAGTTGGTAAGTCTGTGGTAGTGTTGGTAGTTGGTAAGTCTGTGGCAGTGGTGGTATATATATATAGTTGGTAAGTATGTGGCAGTGGTGGTATAGTTGGTAAGTCTGTGGCAGTGGTGGTATAGTTGGTAAGTCTGTGGCAGTGTTCGTAGTGGGCAAGTCTGTGGTAGTGTTGGTAGTGGGTAAGTATGTGGTAGTGTTGGTAGTTGGTAAGTCTGTGGCAGTGTTGGTAGTTGGTAAGTCTGTGGTAGTGTTGGTAGTTGGTAAGTATATGGTAGTGTTGGTAGTTGGTAAGTCTGTGGCAGTATTGGTAGTTGGTAAGTATGTGATAGTGTTGGAAGTTGGTATATATGTGGCAGTATTGGTAGTTGGTAAATATGGGGCAGTGTTGGTAGTGGGTAAGTCAGTGGCAGTGTTGGTAGTGGGTAAGTCTGTGGCAGTGTTGGTAGTTGGTATATATCTGTGGCAGTATTGGTAGAGGATAAGTCTTAGGCAGTGTTAGAAGTTTGTATATGTGGCATTGTTGGTAGTTGGTAAGCCTGTTCTATGGTAGTGTTGGTAGTGGGTAAGTCTAACATTTTTGATAGATGGAAAGTCTGTTCATTGGCAGTGTTGGTTTGTGTGTTGTATTTGTACACACTTTCATTGACTTGATACATATAAACACTTTATGCAATTTATTTTTAATTTACTGCATCATTGTATTCCTAACTCAGTTTTTGATGCTTTTAGGTGCAAGTGTATACATTTCATCTCTACAATTTATAGGCCCTCATACTACCATTTCTACCATAATTGTGTACATTTTAGCTTCACAATTTATTGGATCTCGTATGTCTACCATTTATATGATATTTCATGTCCATGAACTTGCAAAATTGGAATTCCCCCTCTCTCTTTTTATTTAACCCTTTAGTCAGAGTTATAGTTAGACTATACCCCTGCTTCGACAAAGTTGGGAGTATACAGTGTTCTGTGTGTGTTCGTGCATGTTTCTGATCCTGCTGACTGGTGTTTCCGAAGCATCTCGGGCTCTGTTTCACAAATTGGCATCATACTTGGACTCAGTGGAAGGTGGTATGTTGCATCTTAAAATTAGTTCACTGTGACCTTAATATGACCTTTGACCTTGACCTTTATTGCTAAAATATTGGTTCCATAGCAAATTTTTATCGTTTTTGATAGGGCTTCAAACTTTGTAGATTTGCAGGGAGCAGGGTTATCCATGAAGCCCACACTTGGAGTTAAATCTAGTTTTTGATCTTTTTGAACTTGAAGTACAGCATAGCTGCAGTACAAACATGAGGCATAAAATCATATTCACAGTTAGCAATACCCCCCCGGTAAACGATAGCATAACACATGGGTTACATACGAAAATAGTCTGATTTCATGTTGTCTTCATGGGTAAGCCTTTATATCCTACTGTAATATCTCCTTGTGTATACCAGTAACAGTAACACTATGTAAACTTTGAAACTAATAATTAATCTAAGTGGTCACAGAGTGATAATAAAGTTTAATGTCACTGGAACTTTACAAAATGCCTGTAGCAAAGTATTGGCTGTTGATCATCATACCTGAGTCACTGTTAGTGTAGCTAACTACATCCTTATTTTGATTTGAAAGAAACAGGTTGGAGCAGAGATGTATATACTACATGGCTTTATACATATCTGGTTGGAGCAACAAAATTCTGCACAAATGTCAATATCTTGAGATTCCTCTTTTACTGCCCGTTCCTACCCCAGCCACACCACTGACATAATTTAAAATTAATTTGTCTTTAAATGTTTTACTTTTTACAAAATAAACTGATTGACCAATATAATCAAAATTTCCTGAAAATGATTACATTTACATCAATTTCTAAGATAACAAAATACAAAGATAGAAATAATTAAATAAAAAATTGAAATGAATGATCAGTTGACATACCTGTATTTGTAAGATTGTTGACATACCTGTATTTGTAAGATTGTTGACATACCTGTATTTGTAAGATTGTTGACATACCTGTATTTGTAAGATTTGCCCAGATTTGATCCACAACAAATGAGGAGATTTGTAAATATTAGTCTGGATGTATTGACTAGTGCAATCCTTTTTTCATATTTTATTTTTTATATATATTTTATGCAATGCAGCAACTGCATTGTACCAGAGTTGTGTCCCTTTAGATATGTCGAGCGGTTGAGATTGGTAGAGGGTTATAACCACAGTGGCTTGAGAATCTATCGCAGTATGTATCTAACACCATTTTTACCGGAGTTGATTCAAATATCTAAAACATCTACTACTGCTGCCTACAAGTCAGGAGAGGCTCAAACATTGTAATGTCATTGGTTCTCAAGCTCTTGTGTTCATAACCTTTAATTTTGTGGCAATTATTATTTTACATGAATCAGTAAGGCAAATTTATGAATGAGATAGTTACCTATATCTAAAGCCTTTGGAAATACAATTGTATTGTCTTGAAATGATATTTGTATTATTTTCAAAATTTGAATATTACAAATGTACTTCAATTGTTTAGATTAACACACATAGTGTTATACTTTGTATAGTGTCAGTTCAGTTTTAGTATAGTGAAGCCCAGGTGATACACTGGTTACTTTGTGAGATACAATCATTCCATTTACATGTACATGTGTCTGGGCACATCACCTGTACTTTTTAAGTTAAGGGAACTACAAGAGGCCTCTTTGTGAAGAAAACAAAAAGTTATTTTAATTAATGATATGATGAGATAATAGCATTGCTTGTAAGTGTAATTTGTTGTTGTCGATATGTTTCTAAGCCTAGGAAGTAACATCAGCGAGTCATCATAGGATAGGTGTAAATTGTTAGTTTTAATGACCGGTTATCAGGTCATCGTAAAGTGTATAGATTTCTAGCTGTAACAACAGAGTACCTTGTCTGCTATATCATGTCTGTGATTCATTCCACTACTGTATATAAACATTGAAGTATTGTAGATGATAAAGGCTGTTTCATTAGAACTCAGTATTTCTAGTCACTTATATTACCAGTGTAAATGTTATGTATCAATGTGGCATATTTTCTACTTGTTTTAAGTTATTGATGTTACTGAAAATACACTGATCTGTGAAATTTGGTCTCATTGCTTCATTATTAAATTGATTTACAGGTGTGTCTGGCAAACATTGCTAAAATTATGTAGTGGAATTTTTATAATATAGTCACCTCTGCTCCAAATAAATTCATTTGATGAACTGTTATATATATAAACCCTTCACAATAATGTGAGTGCCAAAGATATTTTGATATTCTCACAGATACATAAATTGTGTTTTCCTGTCAGGTTAATAGACTTTCATTTGAAAAGATATTTCAATTAATTTTCATATACATCCTATTGTAAACGTAAACATATTTTAGCAGTTGACTTATTTTAGCGCTTTTTGCACTTAAAACATTGCGCTAGATTATTATTGCGCCACTAGAAATTGTTGTATATTGTTTACTATACATGTAGATATCTTGTGGATGTGACAATTCATCAATGTGCTAATCAGTTAACATTTCGACAATGCGCTAAAATAAGTACCCTTACAGTATGTCATTATCAAAGTCACAAATTCAGGTCCACCTTTAAATCGATCGGTATGTAAGTACCTGTTCAGAATATCAACTTCTCATGTCATATACACTCTACAGAATCTTTATCCAGAGATATATAAAATATGTGTCTGTATACCTTCAGGTTAAAAGATAACACTTTTAAGTGGCATCTTTTGAGCTGTTCTTCCAGATGAAATCATCAGATCTTAGAAAAGAGGAATAGTTTAGAAAATTCACTGGGAGAGTTGTCAAGTATGCGTCGTACTGGCCCTGTTACTTATTTATAAATCGTAGAACAGTCCTCCTATGTACTGCAAATATCTTGCTAATGGTATTTATATTAATTTGTATTAGCGTTCGTACAACGTTGTATCGATGGAAGCAATATCGGCTTAGTGCATACATGGTCATATGAAGGTCGTGCAAGGTCTTCAGAGAAGTCACGATATTTTCAAAAATATTCAAATTTTCAACATACAATCAACGCTTATATTCATGCAATCAACGCTTGTCGCCAGATGTGTGAGTGAAACAGGATGGTAGAAAAACAATCATCCTCTACCTTGAGTGTGTGACGGAGAAATCTCCAACCCTCCGGATGATTTTCTCTAATTTCTTACCTCGGCACAACCTCGGGTAAGACATCAAGAATATCATCCCTCGGGTTGGAGATTTCTCTGTCACACCCTCATGGTAGGAGGAGATTCTTTTAATCAAAATAAAAAGTATATGGAAAAGATCTGGCATGATTTCACCCCTGAAAAACAGTTTCTTTGGCCCCTTTCGCGTGTCCGGTTCAATCGGTTGGTCTGTTTTTAGGTCACCCGAGCTTTAGTTCAAATGGACTATTGCTATCCTTCGTCCGTTACCATTTTACATTTTCAACTTAAGCTGAAATACTGTCGAAGGAATTTCATTGATACTTCATGGGAATGTTACTGACATCTCCCTGACCAAGTGCTGTTATTTTTCGGATCGATCGGAAATCTAATATGGCCGCCATTTTGGAGGATTTTTTTTATTTCAAACTTAAAGTCAAGTTCTACTGGGCCGATTCAACTGAAACTTGGTAGGAATGATCGACTTATGGTCTTGACATAGTGTTGTTATTAATCGGGTCGAGGAAGAGTTGTCAAGACAAAGATTTTTAACAAATGGCCATAACTCCTTAAAAAGGGTCGAAATGAAAAAACACTGCCCTGATGCACGACACCATATTTGTTAACTTCTGTTGAAACAGGGATGTGTAGTGGTCCACTACACATCCCTGGTTGAAATTGGCTCCATATATAGATTTGGAGAAGTTGTCAGGACAGGTATTTTTTCAACAAAGGGCCATTACTCCGTAAAAAGGGTAGGATTGAAAAAAGAATACCTGGATGCACACCATCAGATGGTTGTTACCATATCTGAAATTGACCCCTTAATTTTTGAGGACATGTCCGAACAAGGATTTTTCAACACAGGGCCATAACGTTGTGAAAAAAAGGTCAGAATGAAAAAAATGATACCTGGATACACAACTTCAGGTGCTAGTTATCATATCTGGAAACCTTCGTTGATATTAGTCCACTGCTTTAAAAGGAGTTGTCCAGACAAACTTTTTCTACGGACAAATAAACGGATAGACAAGCTGATTCCAGTATGCCCCAACCCCAACCCCTAACTTCATTGCGTGGGGTATAAAAAAGTGTATAATAGTTTTATTATTAAGATTACTTTATTATTTTTATATAATTGCATATCTTTGTCTATAACACAATCTCAACCTTAAGTAGTTCTCCAGAGGAAAGATTACTATGGCAGAATACATATATATGAGTTATTACTGCTGCACATAACTTTAAAACATGCCTTATATAATAAAGTGATTTGGTATGATACAAAAACATGAAATGTATGGGTATTTATCATACTAAACGTTGATAGTCAAATCTTCGAGGTTATGTGAAATTGGACATGGATCTTGTTTGGCATGCTAAAAATGTACTTTACCAGTTTTGATATTAAATAACATTATTCTGTAGACAGAATACATATATAGGAAGTTTTTAAAGAAGTTTAAGATATAGACTACCACTGTAACTATATAAAGGCAAGTTCATAATGTTGATTATATTTTCAATTTTGTGAAAATTTTGCATGTTTTTCTAATTAAAAGTATCACTACGCTTACTTCATGTATACCAATATGACATACACAGTATTTAGTAGGATACTAATACGGTTACTATGAATAACAATTTATGCAGTTATTGATCATTTTTATGTGTCTACATATGGCAAAAGAATAAAAGAAACCAAAGTGGGGGCCAAATGTTGACCCCACCTTTCGGGTGTAAAACCTAGTAGACCTTCAAATGTTAATGTAGGCCTTGCAAGGCTTTGTCAAGGCTGACCTCCAACCGTTTGGATCGCGATAAACGAATGCGGCCTTGGTCCGTGGTCAAAAAATAAGTTCATTGTTTATTTGTTGATTTGATATTTCGTGGTAAGTTACAACAGGTACCGGAGACATAAGGTATGACAAAAATACTTTCGTTGATTGGCAAAACTATTTTATAGACATCTAACTAAGACACCAACCTTTAATTACGGAAAGTTGAATGCGTTGGTTCCTACCTCCGGGATATACAGTACAAGTAGAGCGAGTGGTTTTACGCTGACGTAATGCTAATCTATATTATTAGGAAATGTAAGATTTAATTCGGCCTAATGCCTCTTCTTTCGTATACCTTCAGAGGTATGTTACAGTGACTAATCAAATTAACAAACCATTAGTGTACGTACCAACTCGCTCTTCTTCAAATTAACGTATCATTAATGTACGTACCAACTCGCCCCAAACAATGTGCGGTCAACCTGTTTTATGTCGTCCCGTAACACATTTCTTCAACATTAGATCCGACTTTAACAACTTATCTTTACTCTTGTAATTATGGTATTTGTCTCTCGTATGTTCGTCATATCCGCCACATCAGACCTAGACTAATGCTATCATCATAACTGCTATATAAATCTCGACTTATCTAAGAACTAAATACAAAACAAGCACCGATATATTGGAAAATAATACATATCTAGCATTGCATTATGTCTGTCATGGTAACGGTTACACCATAAGATCCGTCAAACTAGCTCCATAGCATGAACAATCTGGTGGCAGATGTGGAGAGATTATGAAAAGGCAGCAACTAATCGTAGTGTGGAGAGTACCATATTAAACTAAAAACGCGTATTTGACAAGTTACTTATCATTTGATTTTCTTACGTACTCTTGAAATAAAACATTCCAAAGTTGTTCAATATTGTGGATAACAAATCACCAAACACAACCGTTTAAAATCGGGTCTCCTAAACTT